ACTTGAATTTCTGGGATAAATCCTGCATGATTGTCATGTATAATCCTTTTAATATGACATTGGATTCAGTTTACTAGTGTTTTCTGGAAATTTGTCACATCTATATTCATAACAAATACTGGTCTGTACTTTCATTGTGGTGTCTGTCTGGCTTTGGTATCAGGATAATGCTGGTCTCATAGAATGAGTTAAGTATTCCTTTCTTTTCTCTTTTTTGTAAGAAATTGAGAAAGATTGTTGTCAATTCTTCTTTAAGTGTTTGGTAGAATTCACCAGTGAGTGAAACCTTATGGTCCTGAACTTTTCTTTGTTGGGTGGTTTTTGATTACTGATTCAATCTCTTGACTTTTATAGGTCTGTCCATATTTTCTATTTATGCTGGAGTCAGTGTAGGTAATTTGTGTGTTTCTAGGAATTTAATCACTTTATCTAGATTATCTAAGCTGCTTACATGCAGAACTGGAAACCAAAAGTCTCTCCTTTTATTTTTTTGTTAGAACAAGCACATAAAATTTACCATCTTAATCATTTTTAAATATACAGTTAAGTATATTCACATTGTTGTGAAACCAATTTCCAGAAATTTTTCATCTTACAAAACTGAAACTAGACCCATTAAACAATGCCTACCTTTTCTCCCTCACCCTAACCCCTAATAACCACCATTCTACTTTCTGTTTCTATTAATTTGATTACTTTAGATACTTGATATAAGTGGAATACAGCATTTATCTTGTTACTGGCTTGTTTCACTTAGTGTAGTATCCTCAAGGTTTATCCATGTTGTAGCATATAACAGGATTTCTTTTCTTTTAAGGTTGAATACTATTCCATTTTGTGTCTGTTTCACAGTTTGTTTATACAGTTATCTATCAATGGACATTTGGGTTGCTTCCACCTCTTGGCTATTTCAAACAGTACTGCTGTGAATATGGGTTTATTGAGATCTCTTCAAGACTCTGCTTTCAATCCTTTTGGTTATATACCCAAAGTGAGATTGCTGGGTCATATGGTCGTTTTATTTTACATTTTTTGAGGAGCCATCATATTGTTTTCCACAGCAGTTCTGGATAATCCCACCAACAGTATAAAAGTGTTCTAATTTCTCTACATCCTTGCCAGCACTTATTTATTTTCTTTTTATTTATTTTTTTTTATAGTAGCCATTTTAATCAGTGTAAGGTGATATTGTCATTTTTATTTCTCTGATGATTACTGGTGTTGAACATCTTTTCATATCCTTGTCGGCCATTTGTGTATCATCTTTAGAGAAATATCTATTTAAGTGTTTTGCCCATTTATGTTTTTCCTTTTCGCTATAGCTCTTTCTTCAACTGTTTTCACCTTTGTTGACTCTGCCTCTACTTCGGCTTCTCCTTGTTTTTTAACCTCTACTAATTCTGCTGCTTTTCTTGCTGTTTCTGTTTTTGCATTTTTTTTTCCTGTGCTTTCTCCTTTCTCCTTGTCTGATGATTCTGTGACTTTTCTTGCTTCTGCTTCTCCTTTTCCTGTGCTTCTCCTTTTTGCAGCTGGTTTCCCTTTTGCTTATCCTGTCTTGCTGCTGCTTTCTCGTTCTTCAGTGCCTGCTGATTCTGTGGCTTTTCAGCCTCTGCTTCTCCTTCTGTGCTTCTCCTTTTGGCGGTTGGTTTCAGTTTTGCTGACGCAGTGATTCTGTGGCTTTTCTTGCCTCTGCTTCTCTTTTTCCTGTGCTTCTCCTTTCTGCAGCTGGTTTCCCTTTTGCTGACGATGTCCCCACTTCTGCTTTCCCCTTTTTCCCTATCTGATGATTCTGTTGCTTTTTCTGGCCTCTGCTTCTCCTTTTCTTGTGCTTCTCCTTTCTGCAGCTGGTTTCCCTTTTGCTGACGCAGTCCCTCTTCTGCTTTCCCCTTCTTTAGAGCCTGCTGATTCTGTGGCTTTTCTGGCCTCTGCTTCTCCTTTTCCTGTGCTTCTCCTTTCTGCGGCTGGTTTCCATTTTGCTGACGCAGTCCCTCTTCTGCTTTCCCCTTCTTTAGAGCCTGCTGATTCTGTGGCTTGTCTGGCCTCTGCTTCTCCTTTTCCTGAGCTTCTCCTTTCTGCAGCTGGTTTCCCTTTTGCTGACGCAGTCCCTCTTCTGCTTTCCCCTTCTTTAGAGCCTGCTGATTCTGTGGCTTGTCTGGCCTCTGCTTCTCCTTTTCCTGTGCTTCTCCTTTCTGCAGCTGGTTTCCCTTTTGCTGACGCAGTCCCTCTTCTGCTTTCCCCTTCTTTAGAGCCTGCTGATTCTGTGGCTTGTCTGGCCTCTGCTTCTCCTTTTCCTGAGCTTCTCCTTTCTGCAGCTGGTTTCCCTTTTGCTGACGCAGTCCCTCTTCTGCTTTCCCCTTCTTTAGAGCCTGCTGATTCTGTGGCTTGTCTGGCCTCTGCTTCTCCTTTTCCTGAGCTTCTCCTTTCTGCAGCTGGTTTCCCTTTTGCTGACGCAGTCCCTCTTCTGCTTTCCCCTTCTTTAGAGCCTGCTGATTCTGTGGCTTGTCTGGCCTCTGCTTCTCCTTTTCCTGAGCTTCTCCTTTCTGCAGCTGGTTTCCCTTTTGCTGACGCAGTCCCTCTTCTGCTTTCCCCTTCTTTAGAGCCTGCTGATTCTGTGGCTTGTCTGGCCTCTGCTTCTCCTTTTCCTGAGCTTCTCCTTTCTGCAGCTGGTTTCCCTTTTGCTGACGCAGTCCCTCTTCTGCTTTCCCCTTCTTTAGAGCCTGCTGATTCTGTGGCTTGTCTGGCCTCTGCTTCTCCTTTTCCTGAGCTTCTCCTTTCTGCAGCTGGTTTCCCTTTTGCTGACGCAGTCCCTCTTCTGCTTTCCCCTTCTTTAGAGCCTGCTGATTCTGTGGCTTGTCTGGCCTCTGCTTCTCCTTTTCCTGAGCTTCTCCTTTCTGCAGCTGGTTTCCCTTTTGCTGACGCAGTCCCTCTTCTGCTTTCCCCTTCTTTAGAGCCTGCTGATTCTGTGGCTTGTCTGGCCTCTGCTTCTCCTTTTCCTGAGCTTCTCCTTTCTGCAGCTGGTTTCCCTTTTGCTGACGCAGTCCCTCTTCTGCTTTCCCCTTCTTTAGAGCCTGCTGATTCTGTGGCTTGTCTGGCCTCTGCTTCTCCTTTTCCTGAGCTTCTCCTTTCTGCAGCTGGTTTCCCTTTTGCTGACGCAGTCCCTCTTCTGCTTTCCCCTTCTTTAGAGCCTGCTGATTCTGTGGCTTGTCTGGCCTCTGCTTCTCCTTTTCCTGAGCTTCTCCTTTCTGCAGCTGGTTTCCCTTTTGCTGACGCAGTCCCTCTTCTGCTTTCCCCTTCTTTAGAGCCTGCTGATTCTGTGGCTTGTCTGGCCTCTGCTTCTCCTTTTCCTGAGCTTCTCCTTTCTGCAGCTGGTTTCCCTTTTGCTGACGCAGTCCCTCTTCTGCTTTCCCCTTCTTTAGAGCCTGCTGATTCTGTGGCTTGTCTGGCCTCTGCTTCTCCTTTTCCTGAGCTTCTCCTTTCTGCAGCTGGTTTCCCTTTTGCTGACGCAGTCCCTCTTCTGCTTTCCCCTTCTTTAGAGCCTGCTGATTCTGTGGCTTGTCTGGCCTCTGCTTCTCCTTTTCCTGAGCTTCTCCTTTCTGCAGCTGGTTTCCCTTTTGCTGACGCAGTCCCTCTTCTGCTTTCCCCTTCTTTAGAGCCTGCTGATTCTGTGGCTTGTCTGGCCTCTGCTTCTCCTTTTCCTGAGCTTCTCCTTTCTGCAGCTGGTTTCCCTTTTGCTGACGCAGTCCCTCTTCTGCTTTCCCCTTCTTTAGAGCCTGCTGATTCTGTGGCTTGTCTGGCCTCTGCTTCTCCTTTTCCTGTGCTTCTCCTTTCTGCAGCTGGTTTCCCTTTTGCTGACGCAGTCCCTCTTCTGCTTTCCCCTTCTTTAGAGCCTGCTGATTCTGTGGCTTGTCTGGCCTCTGCTTCTCCTTTTCCTGTGCTTCTCCTTTCTGCAGCTGGTTTCCCTTTTGCTGACGCAGTCCCTCTTCTGCTTTCCCCTTCTTTAGAGCCTGCTGATTCTGTGGCTTGTCTGGCCTCTGCTTCTCCTTTTCCTGTGCTTCTCCTTTCTGCAGCTGGTTTCCCTTTTGCTGACGCAGTCCCGCTTCTGCTTTCCCGTTCTTCAGTGCCTGCTGGTTCTGCAGCTTTTTCTACTGATTCTGTCCCTGCTTTTCCTTTTGCTGATTCTGCCTCTCTTTCTGCTGATGCTGATTTCCCTTCTGCTGCTTATGTTGCTCCTGCTACTTTTACTTCTCCTTCTTGGTCTTTTACTTTTCTATACATCATTTCTGACCTCCTTATAACTTCACTTTTACATGACCCTTAATAGCTACTCCAGTCTTGACTGCACCTTATGTCTCCACTCATAACTACTCCACGTTTCATTATTTTCAGATTCAAATTACCTCCCCCATCTGAATAAAAAGAATTTAATGTTAAAGTTATGGTACTGTGTCACAGATAGCTGATTAACCTATAGATTAGCTGTTACCTTAGATGCTCACCTCTGAAGCAGTCAGCCATGGCACAGTCTGAGGTGTAGAATGGTGAATCTCATAGTGCAGAACATGTCTGTGTAGGGCCACAGGTATTGAAGGTAATCCATAATCCTTAGAAGAGACTGTACCTGAGTAGGCAATAAATGTCTCCTCTGGGAGTAGATTGAGGAGTAAATGAGCAGTGAGGCAATAGTGTAGAGAAAGTTACTCTTTTTAGAAAGCTGGGCGAAAAGGAATGAGAAAAAGTATGGAACATAGCTAAGTAGCTATGTGGAATATTCCTGTCCAGACAAGAGGGAAAGACTGGAGACAAATGAGAGAAGAATAGAGGGAACAAGGCTTTGTAGCAAATTGGGTTGAGATTACGAGCATAGGATTGAAAAATGAACCACAATGGAAGATGTAATACCCAGATCTTTTGAAACTAGAAGAACCAGGAGGGAAAGTTGGCCTTTTTCACTTTCATGATGCTATCAAGGTGCTTTATTATTTTTTTCCTTTCTGTTGCAGGCCCTGAATCTGTGCCTCCTTCCCTTCTCAAGGTAGTGATGAAACCCATTGCAACTGTTGGCGAAAGCTACCAGTACCCTCCCGTGAACTGGGCTGCGCTCCTCTCTCCACTTATGAGGCTAAACTTTGGTAAATGTCAAGGTTTTTAGGTCTTCAGACTCTGCTTTTAGGGTGTGACTTGAGTAGAAAAATAGACTCTGTCACAATTGGTGGTGACTGGATAGACTTTTAGGATTTGGGGGTTTGACTTTTTGGATGGGACTGCTGAGTTCCTTTCAGTGTCTTTATACCTTTCACAGAGGGTGGGGAGGAGGCTGAAGACACAGGATGCGCTCATCAAGATAGTACTTGACTGATTTGTGCCTGTTGGTGAGCATCTGTTGCAGGCCCCGGAAAGCCAGGTTTGATGGTTATCGAATTGCATTTCCAGAGCCATGAGTTTCAGTGGGATGCTGTAACTGTTTTCTATTGCTGCTATAACAAATTACCACAGACTTTGTGGTTTGAACCAACCATTTTATTATTTTATAGTTCTATAATAACTACAGAATATAGTTCTTGTAAAAACCGCAAGTCCAACATGGTTCTCACTGGCCTAAGCTCAAGATACAGACAGAGCAGTGTTACTTCCTAGATGCTTTGAGGGAGTGCTGTGGTCTGAATGTTTGCGTCCCCCACAATTTGTGTTGAAATCTTAACCTCCACTGTGATGGAATGAGGAAGTGGGGCCTTTGGGTGGTGATTAGGTCATGAGAGTGGAGCCCTCATAGATAGGATTGATGCCCTTATAAAAAGAGGCCCCACAGAGCTTCCTTGCCCCTTCCACCATGGGAGAACATACTGAGAAGTTGCAAGTCTGCATCTCAACAAAGAGCCTTCACCAGAACCTGACCATGCCAGCACCCTGATCTTAGACTTCCAGGCTCCAGAACTGTGAGAAATAAATTTCTGTTGTTTATAAGCTACCCAGTCTATGGTATTTTGTTATAGCAGCCCAAACAGACTAAGAAAAGGAGAATGCATTTCTTTCCCTTTTCCAGCTTCTAAAGGCTGCTCACATTCCTTGATTTGTGGCCCCCTTTCTCCATCTTTAAAAAGCAAACAACAGAGGGCTGATGCCTTCTCTTGCTGTCATCTATCTGGTTCTCTGCAGTTGGGAAAGGTTTTCCATGTTTAAAGATTCTTGTGATTAATGAGTCTAGTTGAATAACCCAAGATAATGTCCCCATTTCAAGGTCCTTAACCTCAACCACATCTGCAGAGTTCCTTTGCTATGCGAGGTAACATATTCATAGGTTCCAGAGATTAGGATGTGGACATCTTTGGGGACCATTATTCTGTCTACCACAGATACTTTGTGGTGAGAGGCAAAGGGAATGCATACCTCCCCACACCTTTCATTCATCCACCACAACCTCTTTTATGGAATTAATTAACATATAGAAATTTAATTTTATGTACTTGCCTCCATCTCAAAAAAAAAAAAAAAGAACAATTTTAACAGTGTTGTAATTGTGGGTGTTTGTGTGTATTTGCTATAAGTGGTCTATTTTTGACAGTAGGGTGCTAACTTATGTATGATATACAGAAGGAATTATATACTATAATTTAGGTGTAATTTAAGGGATTATTAAAGATGATTTTGACTATGTACAATTTTTCACTTAAAGGCTTTTATTTTAAACTAATCCGTGTATAAGATATGATGCTACTACACTGTGTCTTCAGAGATTTTATTTGAAAAATATGTCCCCCTGCCCCTCCCTTCTTTTGCATACTGTATTAAGAATGTTTTTTAGTAAAACTCCTTAGAAAAAGGAAGAAAAGGTCCGGTTGGGAAAACACATCTGCCTGTGGGGATCAAATTGTTAAAAAGACTTGATCACTAGAGAATGTGACGACATCTTTAAGTCCTTCCAGACCAAGACAGATTTTCCTATGTGCTGAATGCAGGATTGAGAGGAGGGGAAAACAGAGGCAAAGGGATTTCTAGCTAAAATTATCTCAACATCATGTTAGTATTTGAGCATTTATTAGCTTTCTCTCAATATCATAAGAGAAATTTCCCTTGCTCAAGGCCCTTGCCAATTCCAGACTTGGGACTTTGATGCCAGGGGATACTTTTGCCTCATAACTAAAAGGTCTCTTGAAATATCATTTTGTTTACTGAAGTTATATTACCTGTAGAAGTCACTAAGCAGATGCTTTGATTTGAGACACTGAAAGCTAAAAATGAGTCAGAGAAGCAGCTACATTAGATATTCCTTTCCTTTTCTTTTCAGGTGAAGAGATTCAACAACTGTGCCTTGAAATTATGGTGACTCAGGCACAGTCATCCCAGAATGCAACTGCACTCTTGGGATTATGGGTGATGCCACCACTGATCCACGGTCTGAGTGTATGTAGCAACTAAGGGTATTGGGCATCAGGAGGATATGTTTCCCTTTTCTTTGCAGAGGTGTGGCGGGGGGGGGGGGCGGTGCGGAGAGATTAACATTCATTTGGGTGCATGTTCTCAAAGCCAAGAGTGGACAAATGGGATTTTGCAGAAATTGAGGGTTTGACATTGACAGTAGCTGGCCAGAAGAGTGGAAAATTGTGTGATTTAGAACTCTGCCATAACCATCACCATTCATGTTTTCAGCTACCATTTATTACAAAAAAGGGAAAATGATCAGTGATATTAAATTTTTTTTCTCAAGATCATATAGCTAGAAAGGTGTAGAGCTATTTGAACCTGGGTTTATTTGTTTATATCATACATATAATCGTTTCAGTAAGTATTAAGAGAATGGAAAATCTACATGTACTGTGTATGTGATCTCTCCCTCTCACAGAAAGGATAGCGATTAAGGTGAGTCTTGAAGGCTTGGTAGGATTTGGTTAGGCATCAAGTTAGAGGCACCAGGAGATGTAGGTGGAGAGAGTAGATCGTCTCTGCTATGGGGTTCAGTTTGAGCAAAGTGCTAAGGAAGAAGTGATCTACTCTGGTATTTGTGATAGAGAGAGGGGACCAGCACCTTCCATGATATAGGCTAAGGACAGTTAGAAAGAATGGGGCAAAATTATTTTAAAATGTGCAATTAGTAAAGGTGTATAAATTTGAGTATATTTCAAGCTAGGACCAAAAATACACATTTTATGATTCTTTAGAGGTTTACCAATTGATTATACATTAAATGATCTCATCTTTGTTATTCTATTCTAGGAGGCTTTAATTCTTTGAGCATGCTGCAAAGCCCTCTTATTATTTCCTCAAAATTTTGGCTTCAGTCGCTACTCTGCACTTCTTTCTTTTAAGCTTTCCTACATCTCCTAATATTTTTTTTAATCGAAAGTTGATGTTACTGAGGTCTGCATCTTTTCTGTCAGCTATTATCATTACCTATCTGCTGCCACTTTATGAGCACTTGCTATTCACCCACTACTTGTAAGCACTCAATGAGTACTTTCAGACATCAGATTTAATCTCTTTTCAACCCTGAAAGGCTGATTTTTTTTTTATAGCTTTATTTAGCTATAATTTATATCCCATAAAATATGGCCATTTTAAGTGTAATTGGAGTTTTAGTACATTTTATATATTTTTATCTATTACCAAGAATACTTGCATCACCCCAAAAAGTTTCATTGTGCCTACTTTGTAGTCAATTCCTTGTCCTAATCTCAGACCCAGGCTACTACTGATCAGCATTTTGCCTTTTTAAAAGAACTTTCATATAAATTTAAATTTCACATGAAATTTAGAAATTCTTTAGAATCACACACTATGAAGTCTTTTGTGTCTGGCTTATTTCACTTCTGAGCAGTAGATTTTATTGTTTCCATTTTATAGGTTGGTAAACTGAGGAGACAGAGGGTAAGCAAATTTCACAAATCTGATATATGGAAGAGAGTGTGGGTGACTCCAACGTCCATGTCTTAAACACTGAACTATTAACTCCTTCCTTTCGAATCAGGAATAACTAACAGCTTATTTTGTTGACCTCAGAAGTTTCTAGGTTTTAGTGATCTTTCTACTTCTCTTTTAGATCTGTGCCAGTTTTTTTGCATTCATGCTTGATTATGGACCTTTCACATTACCTTTGTTAATAAAGTTTGTGAATTCGTTTTCTTAATTATATACCTTTTCATTTAGAAAATGATCTGAAATGGTATGTTCTTTAAAGTAAGCTTCAGATAGCTCATGCAACAACAAACATTGATCTTTGTTGAAATTTACTGATTTTTATCAGATTTTACTTTTTTATAACACTTCTCTTAGATTTAGTACCACACGTAGTTTCTAAAAAATTTCAAAGCCTATTCTCTTAAAATCTGTGACCCAGAGCTATTATCAACTGTGCCCTTTCTTAGCTCTCATGAACTCTAAGATGCCACGGTCAGTTTCACATGCTCAGCTGGTTCTTCTTTGGGCAGAAATGGTCTCAGCATGCCAGTTCCCCTTATTATTTCTCTGTGGTTCCTCAGAATAAGAAATTAATAATATCAGATATTCTGTTTAGTTGATTTCCAGCAGGTGAGCCTTTCATCTTCAGCTCTTCTTGCCAGAGAATGTGACATTAAGACTGTATAGCAACGGTCATGTACTTTTAGAAGCTGCATTTTATTCCCTCACTGAAAAGATCCAGTGTTTAAGCTGAGTGGTTTACAGATGGATTGACAGATACCATAAATACATATGAGTCACCATGGAGCCAAAATTTCATGTACCGGTAGCCCATTATATCATGAAGCTTTAGGAAAACGAGGAACAAGGAAGTTACCTGAACCTTTCTCTCTCAGTCTACTCTCAAACACAGTGATGACTTAGAAGTTTTGAATGTTGCAAACCCAGACTTGCCTTTTTATGTCCGACCTCTTCTATTTTGCCTCCAGCTGAATATTAAGAAATACCTCCTGGTAACTGCACCTCTGTGGATCAAACATGTCTCTGACGAACAGATCCTGGGCTTTGTGGAAAACTTAATGGTAGCAGTTTTTCAAGCAGCTTCCCCACTTTCCAGTCCTGAGTTATGCCCTAGTGCCTTGCAAGGTCTGAGCCAGGCTATGAAACTGCCCAGCCCTGCCTACCACCTCTGGAGCCTGCTCTGTGAAGCTACTGGGAAAATTTTTGACCTCCTGCCAAATAAGATTCGGGTAAGGAACAAAAATATTTACATTCCTGACAATTTATGTTTGGGATTTTTTAAAGCCTTTTTGGCAAAGCAGGGAGGTGTATGTTTTAAGAATGTGGTGGGAAGGCTAGCAAGAAATAACCACATTCTTTACTAAGAATGTGTTTGCTTCCAAGATCTAAATTGAGGTTGAATATTTAGAACTAGAGTCTTAAGCAAGCTCAGAAGCGGGTTAACCAGTGGGCACCAGGAAGTTTGCTCTTAAACCTTTTACCAAATGCCTGTAGGAGATGAGCAAGCTCGGAAACCCGTCCACTTTACACCCATAGAATCCTTGGGCATGTTGTCCAATACTCCAATCATATCAAGTGATTTAACACTAGCTTTTCCCCTCCCCTAACAGACCTCTGAATTATAGTTTTACAAAGAAGTTAAAAATTCATTTCGAATGATGATTCTGATAAGAAGAAAAGAAAGTACAGCCAAACAAATACCCAAATAACAGGAAAGATGTTTTTTAAATGATAAAAATTGGCCACACATTTTGGTTTGGTTAAAATTAAAATCATACCAGTTGCTGTTCATGGAGATAAACAAATCTACTAATCTGCCAGAAAATTAAGAACATTAAGAAATACTTATATTGTATTTTGACATGCTTGGTTTTTTTCTCTACCAGAGAAATGATCTAGAGCTGTATATCAGTGTAGCACAGTGCCTCTCGGAAATGACTGATGATGAAGCCAATCGGATTGCTCAGATTACTGAGGTAATAACATATCTATATATTTTTTCATTATTGAGGTAGGAATTACAATCGAAGAGGTGGCCAAGGCTAGTTTTGCTTCCTATTACTGGTTAATTTCAGGAAACGATCTCTGTTTCACACAGGTGTCTTGTGTCCAGCCTAGTCGTGTGGCTGGTTCTTAACAAATGTTATAGGGATGGATAGATGGAAGAATAACATTTTAACCTAATCACTTTGTCAAAAACATTTTAGTGCCACCTCTGGGCAAAAATGACAGGACAATGTCTTTAATACAAAATCCACAAGAATGGGAATATTCTGACCAAAGAACTTTCTGGTACATAGAAGGCATAAGTAAATAGTTCTGTTCTCACATTTATTTTTCTTCACCTGATACTTATCCTTTTGGAATGAAGAAAGGTGTCTGATTAAAATACAAGCACTATTAGCCCTGACACAAGATAATTAACAAGTACCCTTCACACCCATACCCAGTCAATGATGAATAAGCAAAAAGTAGCATTCCAGTAAGGTTGCCAGATTTAAAAAATATGTCTTGTTAAATTCAAATTGCAGATAAACAGTAATTTTTTAGTATAATGATATCCCAATGTACATGCTTATTCAAATGGCAACCTTGCATACCAAGTGATACCAAAGTGCTAGAACTGTGAGCTCTCACATAGCTGTGGACATCTTATTTCTTCCTCTTTATGAAATGTTTGCCTATTCTGTCGAATCATTGAGTTTCTACATCATGTGGCAATGATTCTCAAAATGTGGAGCCTGGGCCAGCAGCATTAGTATCGCCTGGGAACTGATTAGAAATGCAAATTCTTAACTCCCACCCCCAGACCTATTCAGTCAGAAACTCTGGAGGTGGGGCCCAGGTACCTATGTTTTAACAGCTCTTCCGGGTGATTGTGCATCCTAAGGTTTGAGAACCACTGTTAGAGTATTTGGAATATCAGCATTTTGAAGATGAGTTTGTTGTAAGCAGGAAGAAGCAGTATAAGGAAATGCTTAAGAGATTTGATTCAGGAGCCTCAGTGCCAAGGCTTGACATCCAGCTTTCTAATTTACTAGCAATGTGACCTTGGTTACATTTCATTACCTTTCTTTGCCTCGGTTTCTCATCTACAAAAGAAAGATAATAGCGCTTACCTCCTAAGGTTAATTTGAGAATTAAATGACTTAATCCAAATTAAGTTCTTGGAAAAGTACCTGACCCAAGGCAAGTACTCAGTAATTATTATCATAATTATTATATTCATGTATTTTATTATATCCTATTCTTACACTCATGTAATATAGTCAGAAGTAATGCATGTAATCATGTTTCTCAGAGTTATTTGCTTGCTTTCTTAAAACACCATACTAAATAGAACATACTAAATAGTGTTCTCCTGTGTCCGAAAGAGTTCCACTGAGGTCAGTGTTTTCATTTCTGGAAAGAACAGAGATAAGAATAAGGTAGTGGTGAAGAGCTCAGACTCTCTGGGTTCTGTTTCTTTTCTGACACCTATAGCTGTGACCTTAAGCAAGTTAGCTAACCTCTGTGCTTCAGTCTCCTCATCTGCAGCAGATGGATGAAAATAGTATTTTACTCCATACGGTTGGCGTGAGAATAAAGTAAATACTGTGGTTCTCAAACTTTTTGGTCTCAGGATCACTTTAGTGTCTTAAAAATTACTGAGGCCTTCAAAGAGCTTTTATTTATATGGATCATATCTGTCAATGTTTACCACATTAGAAATTAAAACTAGGAAAATATTTACTTAAAAATAATAATAAATTTGTTGCATCTTAACATAAAAAAGAAAATATATATATTTTCCAGAAAAATCAAAGAAATTAGTGAGAAAAGTGGCATCGATTCACATTTTTGCAAATCTCTAACGTTTGTCTTAATTGAACACAGCTAGATGCACATAGCTGCTTCTTCAGTCTATTGTGATATTGTTTTTATGAAGTATGTGAAGAAAATCCAGCCTCATACAGATATGTAGGTAGAGCATGGAATGTAGAAAAGGAAGTGTGTGTTAAAAGACTTTTCCGATAATTGTGGATATCTTTCTTTAATTTTGTACCAGTTTTTTGTACGTTAGTGGTAGTGTGGAATCTGAAACCTTTCAGTGACCTTCACATACTCTGTTACATTAAAATCCATTGGCCTATCTTTTACTCTGGGTCTTTTACCAATGCATGATTTTATAATATACATTGGCCATTTGGAAAATTTTGAATCGCTACATTTTAAAATCTTCCAAATGTTGACACATTTCATTATATAATATCAAAACATCACATTTGTTGATATCGCCAGCAATCTCATCAGAAAAGTCCTTTATTTTTTGGGAAGCTGCCAAACTTGTAGTAGCAGATATAAATTTTCCAAAAATCTAATTTTTGCTTGAAAATTCAGATTTTATTATTGGCAGCAAATACTGTCAAATATTTTCCTTAAAGTGACAGTCTTGCTTTTTCAATTTTAAGAAAATAATCTATCAGATACTCAGTTTAAATAACCATAGTTTGTCTATTAATCATTCAAGTAAATGGTGTTCCATGAGAAGAGTGGCTGTTTCAGCTCACAATTCAATCTCACAGCATTTTTTTTTTTTTTGAGACAACCATCATACTTGGATACACAGAAGTCCCTTATGCACACTTCCCATTTTGTAACACAGAATATTAAAAAGATATGTACTCAAGGGCAAAGTTTTAATGAAACTAATAATTTTGATTTACAAAGGTGTTTTAAGTGAAACTAGCTTTTTAAAAAATGGCAAGTGGCACTGAAAAATACAATGAATATTACTAGAGTTTGACCTCACAGGCCTTCTAAAGGGTCTTGAGGTCCCCCAGAGGTCTGTGTACCTCATTTTGTGAACTACAAAATTAATACATGTTAAATGTTTAGAATGGTGCCTGGCACAATGTAAGTACTGTATTAGTTAGTTATCATTGTCATTATTTGTATATCCTTACTAAATATCATCGCCAATTAATCCCCTGAAGTCATTTATGATTTTTATGAAGAGACAGCAGATAACATTACAACCCTCTAGCTGCATGTACATTTTAATAGAACACACAGGCAGATGGGTCACACACCGTAGAAAATAAACAATTTTAGCATTTGGAATAATAATCAACCTCAGACTCACCCTCTCTGTTTTGCCCTTGCCCTGGGGTTCTGTAATGACTTCAGTTAATTTAATAGTAACTGAACAATTTGCTTTTTTACAGAACAGCATAGAAAAGGCCACCTTTGTCAGACTGTACTTGGTCTCTCAAGGGCGGTTCCCCTTGGTGGGCTTGACTGATGTGCTCCGTGTGGCTATGCAGCACCAAGAAAAAGCCACGCTGGCCTGGATGATACTGCACAGCTTATACCAGGCACGGATTGTGAGCCATGCCAACACAGGTGAGGCTGGCCTGGGGCCAAAGGCAGGAACAAAAAGATCTGCCCACCATCCCTTTTAAGTTGTAATTGTTTCCACAACTTAAAAACTGGTTTAGTGCTTCTTGACACAGGTGAGGCCTTGTTACCCCAAATGAGGAGCACCGTAGATGACAATGAGCAGTTACAGCCCACAACATTCACTCTTGGAGAGGGGAGCGAATTCTTTCGAGGATTTTTATATTGTATTTGGCTCTCGAGGATATAAACACGTTTATTAGGTAGATTCTGCTGCATCTTTCAGTTTCTCAAGTAGACAAGATGTCCATTGATTCTGCCTGATGTGGCTGTGAAAATGCCTTTTGGATAGTCAGTTAACAAACAAAAAAAGAAAACAGCAACAGTAAAATTAGTTATTCTATAGAAGAACTTCTCAGGAGTGAGAAGAATAAAATCTGGATGAGCAAACTACACCCTCAAGCCAGAAATTCCAGGCCTGGAGCTCTGCTAATGAATCATATGTGCAGCTTTTAGACCATTTTAGACATTTATGCTTTAATAATCATCTGAAAGGGGCATGCCTTCATTTCTCCTTCCATGCCTTCCGTCATATGCTTAGAATTTCTTGAGTTTACCTGCAGGTTCTGAATGGCACCTGGCTTAAACAGATTGGATGTGTCTTGTGATCCTAGGCAAGTTACTTGTTTCTGAGCCCCATTTTCTCCATCTCTTATATTTTTGAAGTTCTGAGAGAAAACTGACAAACATAACTGTAATCTTCTTTTCAATACTGTATAGGAAATTTTGATTCCTCCTTCTCTTTGGCAATTGAGATTGTTCTCTCATATCTGCAGTAGTGTTTGTCCTATGAAAAATGAACCTGTGATGAAAAAACAGGATTTTCTTTAGCTCTAAATCGAAAATGTATCAGGAAAATAAATCCAGTAGGTGTTCCCAATTAGGCATGAAGATATATGAAGCAAATTGAACTAAATTTGACATTGCCTTTGGCTCTAACTAGCTGGCCTTCAAATTTAGTTCACATTTTCCTCTCATTCACTAAATTTTGAGAACCTTTCCAAGCAGTTTTAACTGTAATGGGAATCCTCATTTTAAAAAAAGAAAAGAAAAATCTATGTTAGTATTTATTCTCTAGTTACCATATAATAGCTGGTTTTTATTTTTCTTTTTATAACTTTGGGATAGGTATTCCTTGTAATTATGGCATAAAGTAGGAGGGAACATTTAAACAAAGGACTATAAAAACAACTAATCCAAGATTGAACATTACTGGTGAGTTGGCATGCCAGATTTATCCTAGTGTGTTTAATGTTGAGAGAGAAACTCCATTAAATGTATTTTATTACTAGTGGGTGGATAGGTTTGAAGAATAAATTAGTTTTTGAAAATAAGGATCAAAATATGGTTATCTGATGTGAATAGTGTCAAAGAACCTTCATGGGCAATCACAAGTCTTAGGTATTGTGAGGACTTGAAATTATTTCAGGAAATCCTCACCAGGTGTTGTGCTTGAGTTATGATGCTTATTACTGCTCTGTTTTACATTTCAAAGGAAAAACTATCGTCTGATAGGAAAATGTCCTTTTTGTTTCAGGTGTGTTGAAGAGAATGGAATGGCTCTTGGAACTGATGGGTTATATCAGAAATATTGCTTACCAGTCAACATCTGTTCAGAATGTGGTTCTTGATGAGGTACAATCTAGAGGAGTAATTTATAGCTTTCTTAAAATACAGAATTTATATTCTCCCCTATAGCTTTCTTTCCTTCCTTTTTTTGGGGGAGAGCGGGGAGAGTGGGGAAAACAGCAGTGGTGACAACTCTGATGTCACAAGGAAACATGTTCTTACCAGGCTATTGAAGACACCCAGAGCTGATCTTTGAAAAATATTTTCAACAGAGTATTTTCCTTGACAGGCAGCACACAAAGGATACTAGCTGGAGAGGGAACTCTATGTATTTGGGCTTGATCCCATGAAGGAGGTTGGGTACAGGGCTGTGGCCTCCACTCTGGCCCAGAATATGGCCTCACACGCCTGGTTCGAAAAGATTCCTAGACTGTATGCAAGCAATCTGTGTGTGCACCAACATGTGCACACTTACAAGCATGTGTGCATATATTAGAGTTTTCAGCACACCTTCAAAATGACCCCAAATATGGTATTGGGTGAGTTAAAAAGGAAAAAGATTAATAAATAAAATAATGACAGCATTTTCTCACTCCTCATTTTCTTGACTTAGCTGCCCACTTTGTATTTTTAAGGGATATAATTTTTTTCTCTAGGCATGTTTTACATGTTTTCTGTGTGAGTAAAATGTGCACAATATGGAATGTTCTTTAAAATTCTTCCCTGCCTTTCTGAAGGGTTATGTGTGTTCTTGGAATTTTAGTGAGATTAGGAGTTTTAAGAAATCGAGGAGTACTTTGTGAGTTTTTTTTTTTGAATTAGCATAATCTGCTTTTTTTTTTGATCTCCTAAATTTTTATTAGCCTTTTCTACAAAAATCTTTTAAAACCTAGAAAATACAGATAAGCAGAAAGAAATGTAATTTAAATCACAATAATCCAACAATTCAAAGATAGCCCATTACTACCATTTCTACAATTGTCTAGCTTAGTCTAAAATCTAAATGGGTAGATTCTAGACAAATTTGTTAAAATCCATGAGAATCATTTGTTATTGTTCAGTAGACTCAGACTATAAATATTTTGTTAAGTCAGTTTTAACCACATAATAGTAAATCTAAATATCCCTCTCCATATCATTCAATTTTTTAATCTCTGTGAAATCACCAAGACAGAAGAGTATTTGGATCTCGGTATGATTAGGAATTAAATTGTTTCTCCTTAAATGTTAGAGCAATAATAATGAAACTGTTGGCCCTCTGTCTTCTCAGAAGAAGATCCCTAAAGCTTACCAAAGCCCTAAAGTCTCTTTTTATTAAGTGTAGAAACAGAGTTTGTTCTTCAGTCCAGTTCCTCTTCTGGGGTAGTCTGGGGTCGGGGGGGATGGGCCAGAGGAGGGGTTGCGAGAAGGGGAAGATAATATTGCATCATGATGGGGCTGTGTATGTGGAGAATGTATTACTTTGAATTGTTAAAACATGTGACCTAGGCTTGTTTCTGTTTCCATTGCAGGCTTTGGACTTCTTGTTGCTGATATTTGCAACAGCAGTGGTTGCATGGGCAGACCATGATGCCCCTCTCCTCCTCGGCCTCAGTGCCAGTTGGTTGCCATGGCATCAGGAAAATGGCCCAGCTGTGCCAGCATCAAGCTTCCTTGGCAGGAGTCCAATGCACAGGGTCACTCTACAGGAGACTCTCACTCTCCTTCCCAGTAGCATGCTTCTCCTGCTGCAGAAAGAGCCATGGAAGGAACAGGCCCAGAAGGTGGGGTTGTCAGCCACCTGCTTATCAGCACAGGTGGCCATTGTCTCCTCAGCAATTTCTGCTGTAGAGTTGAAGAGGGAGTTCAGTGAAACTTGGATCGCACCACAGGCTTTCATACTCTGCCCCAAATCTCAGACAGATGCAGAGCCTTAGAGACCGAGGCTAGCCCATCCTCGGGCTAATTAAAACAACAACAATGACAACAGCAGCGACTTGTTTACAGTTGGGGGCAAGGTGTAAATAAAAGTTTATACTTGCATTCATTTATTGAAGGCACGTGTGTTCTTGATCCTGGAGATGAAATGATGAGTAAGCCTCTGAGGGCTTAGAATCTCAGAGTGAGGACAGACAGCGAGGCAAGTTCAAGATTGCAAGATGGTGTGATAAAGGAGGATACAGTGGTGATGAGGAGCGGGGGGCGGTGCTCAACAATTCCTGGGGGTAGGTTAGGGAAATCTTTTGAGGAGAAATGTGAGTCCAGAGCGTACATTTTCTTATATCGTATTTAAGGTTCCCCATAGCTCATTTCATCCTACAGCCATGTTCCAGATGCCCATTGTGCTCCTGGCTTGTGCTAAATACATGAGTAAATTTGTAAAGGTCTAATGTCCCCACCCTTGCCCTCAGGAAAATCCAATCTTTTGGTTTTTAGATATTAACATTCCCACAGGCTATTAGCTGTGTTCAGAGCATATGAAAATATTGCGCTTCCTGTAATTCTCATTACACGACTCTGACCTGTCTTTATTTTAATATAGTTGTTTGAATCCATTTAATCACAATTGGATTTTTGTGAGGTTGAAAGCTTAAAACTCACTTTATGTGGCTTATTCTTAAAACTGGAACGCTAATCTTTAAAAATATTTCTGAACTGTGGATCCACACTTTAGCTATGCACAGCTCCACCCAGCGTCTCAAAATACCTTTGTTTCCTTAAACCTGCTAAACATTATTAGTATTGCCCCAAATTTTGTGTTTTCTGTTTCATTTTAAATCAAAATAAATTTAAATGTGGTATCCCCTCATGTTATTTCTGGCCTTGGATACCATGTTCACTTTGGACTACAGTGTAGACATCCTGCATCTATTGTGTATTTCTAGTGCTTGGTTTATGTACTTTACCAGTAGGATATTATAAAACAAAATTGAGAAAAAGAAAATAAAGAAAAACTCTTTTAATTACAGCAGGGAATTAAGAATATTCTTTTTCTATTTTACTCTTCCCAGTTTCAGTGTCCAAAGTTAAAATTAGTCAAGATTGGCAGCATTCAGGCATTAATGAAATTGCCCTATATCTGATTCAAAAACAATTTTGGCTGCATCCTAGATCAAACTCATGAGTACAGTGAGTTTCAACCTCATTTTCAGGGTTTATTTGCAGTTAACTCAGGTAGCTCTACCTAGTAAATTATTTTATGCTTTTTTTCTTGCATTTTAACTTTCATAAACTGTTCTTATCTATAGAAACATAGTTTATTTTAGAAACAGGGGCTTATATCTGATGCACTTCTCTATTTACTGCCCAGCCTAGGAGCGTAGGCCTGGGATGTACACAGACCCAGGTGGAAGGTAGCATGATGCAAAGAGTGTGAGGCTTTGCATCCAAGTGTACTTGGGTTCAATCTTAACTCTGTTATTCGTTGGGGGTAGAATTGGGCAAGATTCTTGACATACCTAGGCCTCTTAGAGTAATGAGAGAATCTTTATGACACACAGGACGCCCGCAGGGCCAATGCCTACAGTCACTCTTAAAACCTATAGCAGGACTCAAGGTGTTTAGCAAGGGAAGGTGGTTTAACTTTGCTGAGCCATTTGACTGAATGGAAGCTGTGTCTGTCTGTAACATCTCTTGTGCCCAGTCCCTTTCCCATGTCCACTCCCCTAGCCCAGGCATGTATTGCCTAGGTACTGTTACACTGATATACATGTATGCAGGCCCACGGGTCTAACTGATCTCTTACTGATATCAGGGTTGTCTTCACTGATACTGTTCTTTATTTTCATCCTAGTTCATTGACTGGCTGCTCAACCTCATGGAAAGTCCTAAAGAAGCCCTCTCCGCAAAATCCAGGGATCTTTTAAAAGGTATTACTTCCATGCTTTCTGTCCCAGAGAAGTGAAAACCTTCCACTCTTGTCTGTGCTGCAGAACAGCACTCTAGTGTATGCTGGCTACTGAAAGGACGCATCTTGGTTCAGTGTAGAGAAATAATCTGAAGCTGTCACCATGTAGCATTTCGAATTAGGAAGTGGATTTAAAGAGTTGTTCCAGCGCTTTAAATTTAATTTTTATTTAGTTTTAAAATGTTTTGTTATAATTGTAAAATATGACTTGAATTAAAATTTGAAAATTCCTTAAAAGAAAAAAGAGAATACAGAGTCCCATTGGCCAGTGACAACTTTGATATTTTTCTTGAGAAGTTTTTGCCCGTTCTGTGTATGGGTGTTCTTTTACCATATTTATAATCATAAATAATTGAAAAAAATGCAGACACTTTTTTATGTCAGAATTATTTTTAAAGCATTTAAAGCTGTTCCTACACTGGCTTCATAATAGTATTTTTAATGGCTACATAGTGTTTTGCCAAAGGAGTTGGACATTTCCCATGCTTTCAAGCATTTAAGTGGTTTTTGTTTTTTTTATAATATCCCTGTATTGATTTGTTAAACTATGACTGTAGGATCTACAAACAGAGGAAGTCTGTGATTTATGTAGATTTATGTAGATTTTTTTACTCAAATCTGAGAAGTCTTTTAGGCATTGGCTCTGTGGCCCAGGACAGCTTGTACTGTCATCTGTGTCTTGGAACTGTCGAGGTTTGGATCCTACCAGTGACTGCTGTGGACGCCCCTGACTTGCTGTCAGATACTGCCCTGAAAATTCTCATCTTGGGAAGTTTTCTGTTGGCCAACTCTTGTGATCATCTATTGGGCCTATCTCCAGCCTGGAGTCATAGTATGACCATACTTTAAGTATGGTAAAACATATTACTTGCCAAGCAAGCAATAATTCCCTAATGTGTCAGTTCTGGTCCTTCTCACCCCCATGTATGTGAAGGGCATGTATGTGAAGGGGATTCTGATTAACCACAGAACCTCACTGAGAATGAGAGCCAGGGTCTAACATGTTTCCACTGATCTATCCCTCAAGACCTGCTGCTAGGATTTCCTCCATTTGTGTTGGGTGTTTGGACTCATTTTTAATGGCCATGGGTCCATAATAGCACTGGTTGCTCCATACGCATACTGTCTTAGGTCATGAAGATAAACAATTGATAACAATGAGGAAAATAGTTATTGGGGTCAAAGAGGTACATGTTCACTTGATTATATATACAAACAAGAATTGTATAACTCTGACTTACCTACATTCCTTCACATTTATATTTTAAATAACATCTCAATATATCTATATTAGTATTCCAAAATAAGATATCTATTAAGTTACCTAGAGGCATTACACAGAACTTTCTTATTTTAAATTGATCCCTGAGGGACCCATGACAGATAAAGCTGTGGACTTGTGGGTATATGTTCAGATATAGTTTATAGTACATTTATGCTTGCTTCATTGAGCCCATGAACCTAGCTTCATTATAGGATCAGTTTGGGGTTTTTTTTTTACCTTTTAGTTAAACATTTAACGGAAAAGTCATTTTCCTGTAGAAAAGTACACAAGACATAAGTAGATTTTTACAAAGGGAACACACCTATGGAATCACCTAGATTAAGGGGGGAAAAAAATCACCAGCATCCCTAAAGTCAGTTTTTGTTTCAGTTCTGCAGAATTTCCCATTAACTGGTTGCAGGATAACATTTAAAATACATGTTTTTTAAAAACTCTTTTTCCAAGCCTTTATTAATGGTTTTCTGCCATTAAAATTCTGCCTAAGCCTTGATGGGAATTGTTAGTCTTGAAGATTAGCCAAGTGAGAAAAAGCCAAGTTCTTTTCTGACACCTTTTTGATCTAAATGACCGTTTCAAATGCAGCTCCACCAAAAACAATAGTGCACTTTATTTTTTGTCCCCTTAGCCACCCTGCTATCCTTGAGAGTTCTCCCCGAGTTTAAGAAGAAAGCCATATGGACCAGAGCGTATGGTTGGTGAACAGTTTTGCAGTAGCCAGCCGCATTCTCAGATGGAAGAGGAAGGAAAACCATACAAATGGAAGACTTTTTCAGAATCTGTGTCTGGGATCACTGAGACATGATGCAGAAAGTTAAGGGTCATGAACTGACATCTTGAACCTTGCAGGCCAAGAGAGGAGGCATTGCTTTGGTACTCAGGCCAGTGGAAACTGAAATGAGAACTTGAACTTTCTTATATTTGGTTAGAGTTCAATCTGAAGATTTTCTTTATGAAAATTGACTACATCATCTCATCCTCCCTACATTCTAGTAAAATAATCTCTTGAATTTTGTGCTTGTGACTTTTAAGGCACAGGGAAGGTTTTGCTACCAAAACCAAACTATAGTGGTGACAGTGGCATCATTTTGATGATCTATTTCCGATGAAGTTTCTATAGGATATTATTCATTGGCTCAATGAGTTAGATGAAACACTCTCTTGAAACTACTGTACACATTTAAATGGTTTAATATGCTTAATACAGATTGCTGTAATCAGATGAAAGAAATAACTGTGTCTTGTGTTAACAAGCCTCTGGAATGGGGAAGTTTAAGGGCTACAGTGTAAGGGAACAGGTCCTTCATGGGTTGAAGGACTTTAGATTCCTGGGCCAGTTTGCAAACATGGATGGCAGTCAAGGACACTGAAGAGGAAGTGGGCACCGAAGAACCACTCTGCATTCTTTCCCCTGAACCAGCAGGCAGCTTACTAATGCTCAAGGAAAGGATGAAGAATCAGCCCAAACTTCTAAACCTGGACTGACTTTTTTGATTTAGCCTAGTCTCTTCCCATTCATACTCTGTCCCTTCTCCTCCCCTTAGCAGGAAAGCAGAATAATTCAAAAGGGAGGTAATAAGATATACCTTTATCTTCTCTTCTCCAGGTCCCCCTTTTTGTCTTCAGCAATCTTGAGCATAAAATTTATAGGATTTTTCTATTCATGGGAGCCTCTAAAGAGTCTAAAATATAAGATTCTAAATTTGAAAATCTAAAAGTTCCAAAATCTCAACATTCTAAGATATAGGTCATTGGAATAATAACACTGTTTTTCTTGGTTACATGTTATGACCTCAGGTAAAAATTAACTTATTCCCTTAGGATATTTCACTTTGTTCTCTAGAAACCAGAAGTCTCTGCTTTTTCAGACCAGATGTTCTAAAGTATATACAAAAGGAAAAGTTTCTTTACAAGTCATCTTCTGTTTTTGAAATCGTAAGTTGCCAAGGCAAAGAGTATGCCGGGATATACTAACAAATTAATGTCTGGGGTTAAAGCCATGTTATGTGTCTCAGAAGTATCCAAACACTCTGATTCTTGATTTGAGAAGCGTACATTTGGAACGGATGTTGAGATCCATTAAAGTGCCTAAAATCTTCTTTGTGTTTTATTTGTAATGCAGTGGTTCCATGGTAATTAATAGGCTGTAATAACCTTTTTTTGAAGTTCATTGCCAGAGCTAACTTCTCCAAATAATTTTAACCAAAGATATTGATGATATAATTATATAAGGAGTAAGGCTTTGTTAAGGACTCAAATAGTGTCTTGAAATAAGTCACTTTGAACATAGTTTTAGGTTTTTGGTAAACATTTTAATAACTTGCTTTTTTAGAAATCAGATCATTTGGTTGAGGATGAGGCCTTTCTTAAAGCCACAGTTATAGTTAGGGTCCTGGTTAGTTTCTATCTCTGACCCCAACTAGCCTATTCTTAGCTGCAGGAATTTCAGATGGAACCAGGGGACAGAATATGGCTGGAACAGTTCACATCCTTCATCACTCTTGTGGAAAAACACCTCACAGCATATCATCGTTAGGTATAACTCTGTATCATCATTGCTCTGATCCTGAATAAGGTAATATGCGTTTATATTTTCTGGAAGGAAATACTTTATTCTAATTCTGGAAATTCTAAAGTCTTTTTTAAAAAAACATGATATATATAGTATTTATGAAGTAGTGAGTTGCATGTAATGTTTATCTTCATAAACAGTACAAAATTTTTTTAAATTGTAATTTAGAAAGATCAATTCTTATCAAACATAGGGAACTTGTGAAATAATATCCAGCTAAATTATTGGACATAAAACTGAATAAAAATGACAGTGATGACTCCCTGACTTTGGTTTTATTTCTTAGATAAAAGGAATAACTTAGCTCACACAGTAGTTGTGAGGGTTAAAAGAACATAACAATATGCTTTATAAATTCTAAAATGTAATAGAAATGCTATCACTTTTATATGTTTCACTGAAAAATAGTAGTTATAATGCTTAAACATAGACCCAACTACATATATGTTAGGACTTGGGAAGATAATGGAAATTTCTTGAGAAATTGTTCTCCTTAATAATTAAAACATTCCAAAAGCAAGTAGTCCTTAAGATACTTTAAGTTAAAAAAAAAAAATAAAACTATGTCTTCTAAACATGAGATACTCTGAGATTAATCAGATATAATTGAAATATCACCTAATCTGATACAGTTCTTAAAATGGTTTTTTTCCCCTTCTGGATGTACTGGTAGTAATCCAAAAAGTCAGGCTGCACAAGCAATTATGAGTGTCTACTCTGTGCTACTGTACAAGGCTCTGGGGTATAAAGTGAACAAGGCATGACATTCCTGTGCTTGTAGAGCTTACATTCAAAAAATATGAATCAGTAAACCATCATGTAATAAAGCAAAGCACCCAGGGAACATGTTATCAATTTCCTACTTCTGTATATTCCTTTAAAACTTAGAAAGGTTTAATTTACCATACTTCATTTGCTTTTCACAACAACCTTGGACAGTTAAGTGGAATTCAGAGAGTCATTCAGTAAGTAAATATTGGAGCTGGATTTCAAAAAAAAAAAAAAAAAAAACAGTGCTCTTACCTCCAGACCACAATCTCTCTCACAGGACCCCGTGGTTCAGTTGAATACCACAAAGTACACTATGGACATACACATGCATCTAATGAATCAAGGCATATTTTTTACTAATTGATTTTCATATGGAATTGACTGTAACCTGTTGAGGAGATTTAAAATGCCAGCTACCCTTAGCAAAGAGAGATTAATTATAGTTAATAATTCCTATTTAGAATGTTTAAAAACTGTAGAAGCATAAGGAAAAAGCGCCATCGTCTCAGTTCTAAAAACAACTATATTATATGGTGGCTTTTATTTAAATAGTTCTTATTATAGCAATTTTCTGTCCAAAGCTGAAATACTTTAGACTCAAAAGCAGTGGTTCTCAAACTTCAGTGTGCATGAGGATCATCTGAGGAACCTATCAAAATGCAGGCTCAGCAGCCCATTACCAAAGCTTCTGATTCAACAGATCTTTAGTGAAATCTGGGAATCTGCATTCTAAACAGGCACTTTAGTTAATTCTGTGACCGCTGCTTCCTGGAATTACGTTGGAGAAAAAAAAAAAAAAGCCCTGGAGAAAAGGTTCATATCAAAACATATGACTTAGACCCAGAAGAAGAGAGTAAAAATTATCTGATCACAGGAAAACATAATATTTCAAAGCAAAAATAAACAAATGAGAGGAAGAAAATGTTGGGGGAAAGGGGAGATGGTTTTTATTTTAAATCACTTTAATACTTGAGCACAATAAAATGTAACTGTTGTCTTTGTACATAAATTTAAATAAATATAAGTTTCTTCCTCCAGATAAACATTTACATATTGATGTTATGGCTACTTCAACTTTTGAAAGAAACCCATAAGATGTGGTACATTCTGTAGTAACAGATTTGTTTGCAGAAAGGCTGGGAAATGTTTTATAATGTTGACCTGTGCCTGGCACATTTTAGGCACAAAATCAGTGTTTCTTGAGTGAATGTAGGCATGTGTGTGCAGCTGACTAGGGATCAACTCATTCTACTCAGGTTAACCTGTTTATTGAATCAAAAGCTAAGACCAGGATAAGAATGTTTCTTGAAAAGCATATAGAGTAAAATACAATGCATCTATAGTGAATGAATATGTTTGGAATAAGTGTTATTGCTTTTCATTCAACTATTTTGATAAAAAGCTCTGGGGTTCTGATGATACTACTTGTGTGTATATGTTTTACTTGTATTCTTTAGGTAGACTTTTGCTGAGTGATGAAGTAAATTATCTAAAGAGTTTTGATTTAGTGCAGTTTTACTTTTTTTTTTTCCTTAGCACCAGAGGCACTGCTGCTGTGAGTACTATTCTTTTGCCTGGGTTACGTCAGGTAATGCATCTTGGCATTTGAAACTCCTGAGAGATCATTTTAAAATTATGTCTTATGCTTTTAAAATATCTTATGGTTCCTACTTCTTTTATATTAGTTAGATTTGAGAAACTAAGTCTTTGACTACACTGAACAAAATAAAAAAGATTTGAAGGATATACAGTTAAAACAGCCAAAGAAACCAACTTTGCAATATGGATAACATCAGTGAACTAGATGCTTATTCTCTGGGTTTCTTAACCTGGGGAACATGAACTTGAGTGGGAGAAGAAATTATACCTTCACTTTCACTAACCTCTAACGAAATTTAGTATTTCCATTATGAATATAGCCAACCAACTACTGTAATAACTAACAATTATGACTGTTACCATTGAAATCAGATTTTTTTTTGTTACAGTTGTTGCAGATATCTCAAATTAATGTCAATCCTCATCTCCACTTCAAAATTACCATAATTATAAATTTACTTGTGTTTCTTTTTGGTCTTCTATTTTAAGTAGGAAGATCCTTAAGGTAATTTGCTTTAAAAAATTAAAGTATTATTTAGTAATGAAATTTAAAATTCTTAAATTCACCCAATAAAGTATAGTTTTAGTTCTGTTCATTTTAGTGATTCTAGATGTATATTTCAGCAGTAAGTAGCCACCTTTGATGGGAGGCAGCTGGACTGTCTCCTAAAGTTTGTAAAGGAATTCTGTTCCCTTTTCACACTAAATCTTTCAGTAATTTTTTTTTAATCTAGAAGTAAAATGAGCAACTTTCAAAGCAAAATAAAATGTAGCTTTCTAAAAGGACAACCTTAATACTTATTTTAAAATTCTAAATGACATTTAATTTATAAAGATATCAATTATCTTTATTAATACTCAATTGTTTCTTCCCAACTGTTTTATTTAATGGTATAAAATCATTTTTTTTCAATTTTTTGTACTTTGTTTTTATGTAACAAGATAAATTAATACCTTCTATGTAATAAGGTTCTATCATTCTTTCAAGAAAAATGATATACTGATGGTTCAGAAATGATTCTATTAGTCAATTATTCACATGTATTTTAGAAAGTTTTCAAAGAAAGTTTTCAAAACTATAAGTGATGACTTATATGACATAGTAATTAGCAATAGTAATTCTGTAATAAATGAATTGAAATATGACTAGTTCTTAATTTTCTTACTTCCTTTAAATGATTTACTATATTCTTATGCCTTTTATCTCCCTGTAAGGTATATGTGACCTGTATTTTTAAAAAGGAATTTGGGGCATTATTTGTATTTTTACCAAAAGTATTCTGTTTTCATCAGGGTCCTCCTTTAAGGCATCAAAGCCCAAATATTGGGTGTAATATTAATGAATACTCTTTTGGATTTGGGAAGATGTTTAATTTTCTGAGTGTGTCTGATGTTTAAAGTGGGTGTTACCTCTGGGAACAGTGACATCTGTCTATAAAATGTTATTCTAGACAACTGCAGAGCATATTTCACATCGCCCCCCTCTTGTGGATCTGCTGCTCTTTGGGAACTCAGAAGTGAAAAGAAATAGAAGTGAATAGATGTAATTTAGGTTAACAATTTTGGTTTCTCAATTTGATTGACTCTACTGCAGTTAATCTCCAGTTTCTCATTACCCTTACAGGGAAATAATCAGGTTTCACACAATATAAATTTAACTTGTATAAAATCCACAGCTGTGGTGAAATAGGTTGTTCAGAGTATATGGTTCGAAAATATAATGTGTGAGAATCACAGACTGCTTTGATATGTCTTAGAGTTTGGGGATGAAGACGATTATTTCATGTCAGGGATTTTTGTCAGATACTAGTTTTTGGGTTTTTTTTTCCACCAGAATGCTCTCTGTGTTGTGCTTACTACAGCGGAATCCACAAGCCTCTTTTTTCATCATCATAATGCTGTGCTTCACATTTTCTTCTTTTTAATGGGAGAGACTCTGAGGACATCTCTTCTTTCTGAGTAAAGATGACTGTATGTAAAATACATACCTAACATGAAGGAAATGACAAAGTAAATAAGGTTAATTAGCCATATCTTTGGAAAGAACCATAATTTTAAAACACTTAGAATGCTTCTTGGAGTCCAAGGATGACACTTGCAAGGGAGAGTCAAAGAAGGAACGCTTAAAGAAGTGTCCAGATTTTCCACAGAAGGGAAAGTAAAGCAAATCTCTCCATCTTATTCTAGTCATTGCAAGGAATTGATTTTTCCCTTTCTACTTCCCCGAATGTTTCACATTTGTCTTCTCTTTCAGGTATTTTTATATATCTGATGTTGATTACCTCTAGAAGGTAAAAACTATCTTGGGTACTTGTGAAGGTTAGAGCTGGGTAAACTAAAATTTAGCAATGAAAACCCTTTCCCCAATTTCCTGAGAAAAAAAGGATCAAATTTTTTCAACTGTAAGTTTTTGTTCCATACATTTTTCTTGAGTCTTTAACATATATTCCCACTTGCCTGCTAAGAAATGCTAGCACATAAGGCCAAACAAAAAAAACAAACATAAATAGAAAACCCAGAAATAGTCAAGCCTTCTTAGTTTGACATCTACATTTTATTTGTAGATACCTGTGTCCATGGTCAAAACTTCTATATTCCATACATAATGCAGTTACATTTTCTACTAGTAAAACTATTTTATCTTTTCGTTCATTTGTTCTTGTGATGTCCTGGAAAAAGCATTATAATTTCTAAGTACTTTTCTAACAAGATCTATTTCATTGTGTCAGGCATCCTCTTTGGTCTTTCCCATTTATGTTAACCTTGCTGTTAAGGTAGATGGCAGCACAAACCAAAAAGCACAAGAAGCATGCAAAAAAAAAACAAAAAAACAACAACAGAAAAGCCACTTACCTATAAAGAGCATCATGAGATATATCTTCAGCACATACGGGAAATAGATGGATAAGTCAAAGGGCAGCTTTGTGGAGTAAGTGCCAAATGATTCAAAATAAGGCAATGACTGATAGATGGCAAATGCTGTTCAAAGAAAAAAGAAGGCATCATGGAGGCTTCTCTCCCTAACTTGCTATGGGGATGTGTATATGTTTGCACAATGGAAGGATATTTTGAATTTGATAACAGGTTTGTGATAATTGCTGAATCTTTTAGCTAAAGCTACAGTTTGATATACAAATCTGCTGAATGATTAAACTGGCAAGGCCATTATAGCCATATGCCTTGAATTTTTTGTTCACTTTATACTTTATTATGCCTATAGAGAACGTTTACAATGTTTCTTCTAATGGTATCTCAAAATACGTGTCCTCCTAGCCATCAAGAGGGGTGACAGATGAGTGAATCTGGAAAATGCTGCATATATTTTCCTCTTAGAGTTTCACAACACACATTTGTAAGTAGGGACTATGAAAAGTTCTGCAATAAAGTAATTGGTTTTGGAAGTGGGTCTAGGATGGCATAAAAGGACAAGCTCACCCCCCTCCTGAGAACACCTATAGCACAACTCCTCCTGAGAGACAACTGAGGGCCAATTGTACAGCTTCTGCACAACAGAGAGACCACACAGAAAGAAGGTCAGGGAACTGTGAGAGCTCTCCAGGACCGAAGGAACTGGCGAGCACCATTGTTTACATTTCCCCTGCACTTGGACAGCTGGTGGGTGCTCCATCCAGATTCTCAGGCCGACCTGCAGGGCCGCTGTAGTGGGTCCCCAGTCATGTCTCCTGGAGCTAGCTGCAGCAGGAACAGGAGGGTGCCATCATATCCACGCATGGCTCCCCTCTACCTGGACATTAATCCAGTGAGTATGACAGGGTACTGCTGCATGCACCCACTGCATTGCCTCACCATGTGAGGCTCCTTCACCCAGCGTGAGTGTAGAACTAGCAAAGCATTGTGGTGTAGCACGAACATAGGAGTGCCCTTGTCAGAGAAAGTGTGGAGATAGTGGGGCACTGCTGCATGCATATGTGGGCTACCCCACCAGAAGAAAGTACAAAAGTAGCAAAGTGCTATGGAATACAAACGCAGAGGACTGCCCATCCAGAGAAAGTGTGGAACACATGTCCACTGGGCAGCCCCATCTGGATCAGAAGGGTAAGGAAGCGGGCGCACATCAGACTGCTCACCCTGAATCCATCATGGCCTTAGCCAGAACAACAACGAGCTACCACACACACATGCACACCAGGCTGCTCCACCAGGAACTCACTCCTGGCCAGGTAGCACACCAGACACCACACTCACTTGCCCTGACTACAACCAGCCTGCCAAAACCACTGAGAAGACACACTACACAGAGGCCAATTTTTCAAGGTTAGAAGAGTTATTTCATATGACTCATAGGAACAAACACAGAGAGTCCATTAAAATGGGGAGACAGAAAAATATGCCCCAAATGAAGGAACAAGAAAAAACCCCGCAGAAAAACTCCAATGAAACAGATAAGTAACTTGCCTGATAACTCGGAACTTCAATAGAGTTAAAAAATCAAGAACCAAACAAGATGAAGAATACAATAACTGAAATGAAAAATGCATTAGCAAGAACTGACAGATTAGGAAATCAACCAGTCACAACAGAAAAATGAGAATTTTAAAAAAAGACAGTCTAAGGACCTCTGGGACAACACCAAGTGCTCTAACATTTGCATTATAGGGATTCCAGAAGTAGGAGAGAGAGAAAGGGGCAGAAAGTATATTTGAAGAAATAATGGCTGAAAACTATCCTAACCTGAGGAAGGAAATAGACATCCAGACAAGATGAACCCAAAGAGGCCCATACCAAGACATTGTAATTAAAATGGCAAATGTTAGGGATAAAGAGAATCTTGAAGGCAGCAAGAAGGAAACCAATCACATACTAGGGAAACTCTATAAGGCTATCAGCTGATTTTCTCAGCAATTTTATAGGACAAAAGGGAATGAATGACAAGAAAAAGGAAAGGAGCCTACGACCTAGAATACTGTAGCTGGCAAGGTTATCATTTACAATTGAAGAGATAAGGAGTTTTCCGGACAAGCAAAAACTAGAGTTCACCACCACTAAAACAGCTTTACAAGAAACATTAAAGAATCTTTATGCAGAAAAGGCCATAACCAGAAATAAAAAAATACAGGAATGAAAAAATCTCACTGGTAAAGGCAAATATATAATAAAAACAGTGAATCAACCACTTAAAAAGCTAATATAAAGGTTAAAAGACAAAAATAGCAAAATTATAAATAATAGGGGATATGAAAAACAAAAATATAAAATATGACATCAAAAACAAAGAATGGCGGGGGCGGTAAAAATGTAATACTGTTAGAGAATGTTTGAACTTAAATACTTATCAGTTTAAAACGGACTGCTGTATAGATGGATCTATATGAATCTCATGGTAACCATAAAGCAAAAATCTACAAAAAATAAAAAAATTAAGGGAGAGAGGGAAAGGCAAGATGGCATAGAACACAGAAGCTTTGTACATCTCTTGCGACCATACCGGAGATGTGACAAAACCACAGAGCAAAGAGCAAGCAGATACACCTGCGGTCTGAGATGAACAGAAGCCCCACAACTAGGGAGAGAAATAAGTAATCCCCTGCAGCCGTAGGAGCGGGTAGCAATGTGAGGCTTCCTGGTCCCACGTGCCTGAGCAAGGCAGAGGATGTGGCACCCGCAGCTGGCAGGTACAGATGTTCCTCTTACAGGAGCCACAACCTCAACTGAGCTCCAGTGCCAGGTGAGCTGCTCAGCAGTGCTCCAGGGACATACAGGGGGATGCTGAGTTGTCGGGCTTTGGGATGAGGGCCGGAGGTGAGGTTCTATCCCAGGCAGAAGTGTTGGTAGCATCCATTGTTCCTCTGTTTAGCCCTCCCCTCTTCCCAGCATGCGGATGCAGTGCTGCCATTCCTGAGACATCATCAAACTGGATAACGGAGGTAACTCTGCCCCTCCCAATTTGCAGCCCTACCCAAGCCATATCCAGTGGTGTTCTCGACGCACCCTGTGCCCCTTGCTAAGCAGCACCAAGCCCTGCTCTGGTGGCATGTGGCCTCAGTTTCTAGCATGGCCTCTTGAGGCAACTATGAGCACAGCACGAGTATCAGCCATCTGGGGATTGCTTGCTGAATCTCACCAGGTGGCCCCAGAGGGGCACAAGCTGGGGCTAAACTTGGCCTGCAGCTAGACCTCTCTCTGGACTGTGCCACTGGCCATCTACTACACAAAGTCACACTAAGACTGGAAGACTTAGGAGCTTTGCTTAGTCCATAGAAACAGATACAGAAAGGCAGCCAAAATGGGGAGACAAAGAAGCATGTCCTACATGAAAGAACAGAACAGAGCTCCAGGAAAAATGAAGTCAAGCAATCTACCAGACGCAGAGTTCAAAACACTGCTTAAAAGGATGCTCAATGAACTTAGGGGGAGTAGATGAACTCAGTGAGAACTTTAATGAAGATATAAAAAACATAAAAATGGAGGTAGAAATTATAAAAAGGAACCAGTCAGAAATGAAGAATACAATATCTAATATGAAAAGTATAGTAGAAAGAATCAACAGAGTTAATAAAGCAGAGTTTCGAATCACCAATATAAAGGATGAGGTAGCAGAGGACACCCAATCAGAACAGCAACAAGAAAAAATAATCCAAAAACATGAAGATAATTTAATTTATGGGACAACATCAAACGTAACAAGATTTGCATCATAGGAGTACCAGAAGGAAGAGGGCAAGTTGAAAACCTATTTGAAGCAATAATAATGGAAACTTCTCTAACCTGGTAAAGGAAATAGATGTACAACCCCAGGAAGCTCAGGGAGTCCCAAGAAAGAGGAACCCAAAGAGGCCCATGCCAAGACACATCATAATTAAAATACCAAAGGTTAAATACAAAGAGAGAATCTTAAAAGCAGCAAGAGAAAAGTAGTTAGTTACCTACAAGGGAGCACTCATAAGACTGGCAGCTGACTTCTCAAAAGAAACTTTGCAGGACAGAAGGGTTTGGCACAAAAGATTCAAAGTGATGAAAACCCAGGATCTAAAACCAAGATTATCTAGCAAAGCTATCGTTTAGAGTTGAAGGACAGATAAAGAGCTTCCTAGACAAAGAAAATCTAAAGGAATTCACTACCAAGCCAGCATTACAGGAAATGTTGGAGGGACTTCTTTAAGAAGAAGAAAAACTAGGTAGCAAAAATATGAATAAAGAATGCAATAACTACATATCTATTAACAAGTACTTCGAATGAAAAAGAATTAAGTGCTTCAATTAATAGAGAGGGTGCCTGAATGGATAAGAAAACAAGACCCTTATATATGCTGCCTTCAAGAGACTCACCAAATTAAAAGACACACAGACTAAAGGGATGGAAAAAGATATCACATGATGGTATTGTGCTGAGTGGAGTAAGTCAGATAAAGACAAATGTCATATGATTGCATGTACATGTGCAATCTAAAGAACAAAATAACAACAAAAACAATATACAGAGAATATTTTGAGGGTTACTATACGGGAGTGGGTGGAGGTCAGTGAAAAGGGCAAAAGGATTAAGAAGTACAAATGGATAGTTACAAAATAGTCATGGAGATACAAAGTATAGCATAGGAAATATAGTCAATAATACTGTAAATATGTAAGGGAGCAAAGGGATACAAGATTTATTGGGGTGATCACTTTGTGAATTATATAGATCTCTACTATGCTTTACAATAGAAACTAATATATTGTATACCAACTATAATTGAAAAAACTCACTGAATTGTACACTGTAAATATGAGCAAATAATTGTCTATCATATTTCAATTTAAAAAGTGGGCCAGAAAAAAAATTAAAAATTAAGAGAAAGGAGCCCAAAGAAAACACTAAAGAAACCCAGCATATCAAAAAGAAAAAGATTGAGAAGAAACAGAAAAATACAACCAAAAAATAACAAAATGGCCATAAGCAAATAGCTATTGATAATTAAATGTAAATGGACTAAATGCTATAATCAAAAGATATAGGATGGCTGAATGGATTTAAAAAACGATGCATCTATATGCTGTCTACAGGGGACTTACTTTATTTTTATTTTTATTTTTTTCCCTGGCTTTATTGAAATAGAATAGATAATTATTTGCTCGTATTTACCTTGTATAATTCAGAGGTTTTTTTTAAATTATAGTTTGCATACAATAACATACTAGTTTCAGTTGTACAGCCTAGTGATCAGAGATCCACATAACTCACAAAATAAGTGATAACCCCACTAAAACTAGTACCTTTCTTCCCCCTTACATATTTATTACAACATTATTAACTATCTTCCCCATGCTACACTCCCAATCTCCATGTATACTCTGCAACTACCCATTTATACCTTTAATCTCTTTGCTGTATTTTTGCTGTCCCAACTCACCTCCCATCTAGTAGCCCTACAAGAGACCAACTTTAGATCAAAGGACACAGACTGAAAGTGAAGGGATGGAAAAAGACATTCCATGCAAATAGAAATGAAAAGAGCTGGGTAGCCATACTCAGACAAAACAGACTTCAAAACAAAGAATGTAAAAAAAGACGAGGTTATCACATAATGATAAAGGGGTCAATCCAAGAGGATATAATAATTGTAAATATGCACCCAACATAGGAACACCTAATATATAAAGCAAATATTAATGGGCATAATGGCAAAAATTAACAGTAATACAATAATAGTTGGGGACTTTAATAGCTCACCTTGATAGATCATCCAGACATAAAATTAATAATAATGGCCTTAAATGTCACATTATACCAAATTGACTTAATAGATAATTACAGAACATTTTATCCCAAAACTGCATAATACACATTTTTCTCAAGGGCACATGGAACATTTTCCAGGATAGACCATATATTAAGCCACAAACAAGCCCAAATAAATTCAAAAAGATTGAAATTATACCCAGCTGAAAGCTTTTTCTTTAATATCAGGAACAAGACAAGATGTCCAGCCTGACCACTTTTATTCAGCATAGTATTGGAAGTCCTAACTACACAATCAGACAAGAAAAATAGGAATCCAAATTGGAAAGAAGTAAAACTGTCATTATTTGCAGGTAACATGATACTATGTATAGAGAACTCTAAAGATTACACCAAAAGAACTATTAGAACTAATAAATGAATTCAATAAAGCTGCAGGATAAAAAATTAATATTCAGAAATCGGTTGAATTTTAATAGACCAATAGCATACTTATCATAAAAAGAAATTAAGCAAACCTATTTACAATTACATCAAAAAGAATATCTAGGAATAAATTTAACCAAGGAGGTAAACTGTACTCAGAAAACTAAGACATTGCTCAAAAAAAATGAAGACACAAATGGAAGGACATACTGTGTTTGTGAATCAGAAGAATTAACATTATTAAAATGTCCATATTACCCAAAGCAATCTGTAGATTTTATGCAATCCTTACTAAAATACCAATGACATTTTTCACAGAACTAGAAGAAATAACCCTAAAATTTATATGGAACCACAAAAGACCCCAAATAGCCAGAGCAATATTGAGAAAGAAGAACAAAGTTGAAGGTATCACACTACCTGATATCAAACTAAAGGCTACAGTGATTAAAACAGCAAGGTACTGGCATAAAAACAGACATATAAATCAAGGGAACAGAATAGAGAGTCCAGAAATAAATCCACCCTAATGTGGTCAGTTAGCATGACAAAGGAGGCAAGAATATACAATGGGATAAAAACAGTCTCTTCAAAGTGGTGCTGGGAAAACTGAACAGATACATGTAAAAAAAAAAAAAATGAAACTAGACCACTTTCTTACACCATATACAAAAATAAACTTGACATGGATTAAAGCCTTAAATGTAAAACCTAAAACCATAAAACTAGGAGAAAATACTGTCAATAAACTATTTGACATTGTTCTTACAATATATTTTGAATCTATCTTCTAAGGCAAAGACAACAAAAGCAAAAATAAACACATGGGACTATATCAAACTAATAAGTTTCTGTACCACAAAGGAAAATATCAACAAAACAAAAAGGCGACCTATTGAATGGGAGAAAATATTTGCAAATTACATATCCAATAAGGTGTTAGTATCCAAAATATACAAAGAACTCATATAGCTCAACATTAAAAATAATCATCCCATTTTAAAAAATGGGCAGAGGATATGAATAAACATTTCTCCAAAGAGGACAGACAGATGGCCAAGAGACACATGAAATGATGCTCAACATCACTAACCGTAAAAGAAATACAAATCAAAACCACAATAAGATATCACCTAACACCTGTCTGAATGGCTATTGTCAATAAATCAACAAACAAGTGTTGGTGAGGATGTGGAGAAAAGAGAACCCTCGTGCACTATTGGTAGAATTGCAAATTGGTGCAGCCACTATGGAAGACAGTATGGAGGCTCCTCAAAAAATTAAAAATAGAACTCGCATATGATACAGCAATTCCACTTCTGGGTATTTATCCAAAGAAACCCGAAACACTAATTTGAAAAGATATGTGCACTTTTATGTTCATTGCAGCATTATTTACAATTGCCAAGATATGGAAGCAACCTAGGTGTCCATTGATAGACAAATGAAGATGTGAGTCATATATACAATGGAATATTACTCAGCCATAAAAAAATGAAATCTTGCCATTTACAACAACACGGATGGACCTAGAGGGTATTAGGCTAAGTGAAATAAGTCAGAGAAAGACAAATACCATATGATTTCACTTATACGTAAAATCTAAAAAAACAAAATGAACAACAACAAACTCATAAAGACAGAACAAATTGATGATTGCCAGCTGCGGGGCGGGGAGGGGGGTCAGGGGTGGAAAGGCAGAAAAGGTGAAAGGGATTAAGAAGTATGAATTGCCTGTTATAAAAATAATCATGGGGATCTAAAGTACAGCATAGGAAATATAGACAATATTATTGTAATAACTATGTATGGTGACAGATGGGTACTAGACCTATGTGCTGATCACTACATAAGGTATATAAATATCTAATCACTATGTTGTATACTAGAAACTAATATAATATTGTACACCAACTAAAACTGAAACATAAATGTTAAAAAAAAGAAAAGATGTAATAACACATAATCAGATCAATTTTGATCAGTTCATTTAGTACAAAATGGAGGTAAAACTTCATAGCTAAACTCTGAATAATAAGGTGCTAAACTGGGAGTATTGGATTTTTCTCTAATTACCTGGTAAAAATAAATTACAAATGTCAAATCTTGTTAAGCCTTTAAAATATTGCTTCCTACTTTTCATCTTTAAAGTGATGCTAATAACATATGCCTCATCTTTCCTCACATAAGTAAATAGTTAAAAACTAAAATTCCTTTTTAAGTAGAAACTTTAATCAACTTAATGTAATTTAATCATCAAATAATTGCGCAATTAAAAAACAAATAAAGGAAAAGGGATCTAGGCATTCACTAAGTTAATGTATTGCTAAGTATATCTAGATGACCTAATAATCACTGAATGGCTCTTCTGAGTTTGTAATTCAGCTATTCAAAATTAATTCCTATTGTATTAAAATTACATCACCACAAATATTCTTTTCAGATTTAGAGTTTGTCTTAAGATAAGTAAAATTCACTCAGTTAAAGAAGGGAAATATATATATATAACCAAAGCTAATTGTTTAATCTACTTCTTGAAATGAAAAGAATTAAAATTTGAATAAAATCCAGCTATAACAGCAATATTGGATCAGAAGCTAAGTTGTAATGATAACTAAGACAAGGAAGGTTAAAAATGGTCTTAGAAAACCAATATCCACCTACAGAAGCATAGATGCCATTGAAGAAGTTAATATAGGACAAGGGGTAGGGGAAAGGCACCAAATTGGAAGCCATGAGGAATGCCAAAGTTTTAAAAGACAAAATTCTTCCTCTCAGAGTTCACCTATTTGAGAACAAAAGATATGCATGTGAAATAACCAAAGGGCACCTGTGCAGAGTGGAGGTGAGGTGGGGAGGCGCAAAGAGGCAAGGATGAGACAATCAGTGGCTTGTCTTCCCTATTTTCCAAGAATGTCAATGAACCTCAAAAACTGGAGACCAGTAGTACTCAGCCATAAAAGATAAAAAAGAATGAAATCTTACCATCTGCAACAACCTGGATGGACCTAGAGAGTACTGTGTTAAGTGAAATAAGTGGGACAGAGAAAGACAAATAGCACATGATTTCACTAATATGTGGAATATAAAAAACAAAACAAGCAAAAAACAAACAAACTCATAGATACAGAGAACTGATGGGAGAGGAGAGATGGGTGGAAAAGGGGAAGGGGATTAAAAGTACAAGTTTCTAGTTATAAAGTAGTCACAAGGATGCAATGTACAGCATAGGAAATAGAGTCAACAACATCATAAGAACTGTATGGTGACAGTTACAGACTTATTGTGGCAATCACTTTGTAAGGTATATAAATGTTGAATCACTGTGTTATATGCCTGAAGCTAATATAATATTGTAGGGCAACTATAATAATTTTTAAATTGGGGAAAAATAATCCTGAATCACTAAATGTTAAAACTCTTTTGGGTGAGTAAACAGACAGGTTAAATGATTCATACAAAACTCATACAGTGAGTTAATGAAGTTAAGGATCTAGACTCCACCGTCTTCATTCCTCATCCAATATTTTGTCTACTGTGCTGAGCTGCTTCCTCCTTTATCTTTATCTTCATGCTTTGCTTCTTTGCATCAAGGGAAGTATGCCAGGAAAGATACACTGAGTCAGCTAAGCAGTACCCAAAATAGTAATTTAATCATCAAAAAATTCCCATTATAACTAGGTTGCTTTTGTCAATAAGCAATATAGCAATTCACTCTTTTCTTACCTTCAGCAAGAACACACAAAGGATAAATCGGCATCCACAGTGTTTGACTAAGCCAAGTCAGGGCAGCATAGGATATTCCTATGACTGATAACATGCTATAAGTGTACCTGGAAGGAGACAAGGAACTCATAAGTATCATTTGCTGCTGATGTCTTGGAAATAACAATAAAATGCTTTACTAGGTAATTAAATACACAGATAAAATTGGAATATGTGTAGATTCCATACTTTATTTCCTATAATTTAAGCAAGAGAATAGGTTAAAAACAAAATGGGAAGAGAGGAACCATGTTAGTCTGGCTTGTCCTGTGGAATAGATCGTGATTGTGGAAGTGAACAGAAATAAATGTAACTCATATCCCCTAGCCAATTACAAGTTTCCTTAAGTAGTGACCAATTTCACTCAAAAGCTAAGCCCATTTTATGCAACAAGCAGCTAGGGGTTTTTTTGTTTGATTTTTTGTTTTTAAGACAGATAAAACTTGTAAATATCTAGGGCATGAATTTTTAAAATAAAAAAAATGACTCCCAAATCATTTTTGGCATCCTTCGGCTTATGTAGTTGTGCCCTCTTATGTGATCAACCAAAGAACTGTCCTGAGGAGCTTGTTTGGGTTACAGCAGGTAGTTTAAAACCTGCCTTTGTGGTGTAATAGATGAAGTAGTCTATATCTTTTTATTTCTCTGTTCTCTGAATAAACAGTGGTTCTCAAACTTAAGCATACATCAGAATCACCCAGTGGGATTCCTTTAGGTCCAGATTGCTAGACCCTATTCCCAAAGTGATCCAGTGGGTCTGAGGTAGATCCTGAGAATTTGTATTACAAACAAGTTCCAGGTGATGCTGATGCTGAGAACGACTGGAATAGGCAGTGAATATATATGGCAAAACAAAATCCAAAACCCTGAAAGCACGAATTGTGAAAAGTAAATCTCTCATTCCAAGACCTTAATTCCACCTCTCAAAGGCAATGACTAGTGCCAAATTCTTATATATTCTTTCAGAAATATCTTCTGCATATGCTTCTCTATGTGCATATGTATTATATATCTATATACCAACAGTGCAAGTCCTCACTAAACATGGCATGTTATCAAACTTTTTGATCTTTACCAAACTAAGTGAAAAACGGTATCTTACTATCTTTTTTTTATTACAGGAGAGAGATGTTTAAAAGCCACTTTTGATGAGGTCCAATGTATATTTTTTTGTTGTTGCTTATGTATTTGTGTCATGTCTAAGAATCCATTGCCAAATCCAAGGTCACAAAGATTTACCCCTATGTTTTCTTCCTCTAAGAGTTTTACAGTTTTAGCTCTTACATTTAGGTTTTTTTTATCTATTTTAATTTTTATATGTGGTATGAGGTAAAGATCCAACTTCATTCTTTTGCATGTGAATGTCCAGTTGTCCCAGCACCTTGTTGAAAAGACTACTGAATGCTTTTGGCACCCTTATCAAAAATCAATTGACCATAAATGTGGGCATTTATCTCTTGACTATCAATTCTATTCTGTGATATATCCTTATGCCGGTATCACACCCTTGATTATTATTGCTTTGTAGTAAGTTTTGTAATTGGAAAGTATGAGTCTTCCAACTATGTTCCTCTTTTTCAAGATTGTTTTGGCTATTGTGGGTTCCTTGAGTTTCCATATGAGTTTTTGGATCAGCTTCTCAATTTCTGCAAAGCCAGCTTGGATTCCGATAGGGATTGCACTGAATCTGTAGATCAATTTGGGGATTGTTGCTGTCTGAACAATATTAAGCTTTTTAACCCATAAACATAGGATATCTTTCCATTTATTTTGATCTTAATTTCTCTCAACATTTTTTTATAGTCTTCAGCATATAAGTTTTTTACACCTTTTATAAAATTTATTCCTACTTTATTTTTTGATGCTATTATACACAGCATTATTTACTTTAGGTTATTACAATGTATAGAATACAACTGATTTTTGTATATTTTACAGTCTACAACCTTGAACTAGTTTATTAATTCCAATATTTTTAGTGGATTATGATTTTTACATATATATAAGATCGTGTCAACTGCCAATAAAGACAGTTTTACTCCTTTCTTTCTAATATGGATGCCTTTTACATCATTTTCTTGCCTAATTGCCATGGATAGAACTTCCGGTCCAATGGTGAACAGAAGTGGCTAGAGTGGACATGCTTGTCTTGTTCCTGATATTAGGAAGAAAGGATCAGTCTTTCATTCTTGGTCATCATGTTGGCTGTGAATTTTTTATAGATGCCTTTATCTGGTTGAGGAAGTTCCCTGGTCCTTGCTTTTAAAAAAGTCATTCTAGGGTAAGTTGGGAAGATAACTGTACCCCCATTTGACAGAGAAAAAAAATTGAGTTTCAAAAAGATTAGATGCTCAGGAATTTCACCCCTAGGTTAAGAGAAATGAAAACGTGCACACAAAAGCTGGCACATGGATATTCATAGCAATATTCCTCATGACCAAGGAGCAGAAACAACTCAAACATCCATCAACTGATGAATGGATAAAAAATGTGGTATATCAACATAAAGAACTATTATTCAGTCATGAAAAGGAATGAAGTAATAAGTTATATATACAGAAATGAGTCATTTGAATTCAACAAAATATTTCATTAGAATTCATTCTAGGGCTCAACACATTATTTAGAAATAGTTTAACTCAGCTTATTGACAATATAAGAAAGAATTTACATAACCTCGGCTGAAATGCTAGGGTTTTGTTACCGATCCTCATCCAGATCTTTCAAGGAGGAAGAGCAGTCTTCATATGTGAAATCTGAAATAACATTAGAACAACTTCCCAAAATGAGCCACAGAGCAAAGCGAACTGTTGTACACCACTGCTGGCAGAGATAAGACTAGGCTCATATAGTTGCAAAGTTTTACAATTAGAGTGAAACCAGGGACAATCTAGAGCAAGCAAAGGTGTTTAACCTGAGGCCCAAGGATCCCCAGGGAGTCCACAAAATAACTTCAGTCAGTCATTTGAACCCGCTGGACAGCAGACAAAAATGTGTGCAGAGGTGCATTTTTTTTTCCCCCAGGGAGATGAGGGCTCTATATTTAAAATATTCTTGTATTCACAGAAACCAACTTTGTAAGTTCTGACTATGATATAATAAAAGTCTTGCTTTGCTTATTAGAGTAACATGTACCAGAGCGATTGCAAGGAATGCCTTTCATTGGCAGACACCTGTGAGATTTATTCCAAACTGGTGTCATGCCAAGTCTTCTGCTAGAAACCTGCACTGATTTGTTCTTGTAAGACCATGGTAGGTTTTCATTATCTTTGATATGCCCATTATGAAAAGCACTAAAAATATATTTCCATGTCAAGATAAAATAATTTGAAAAGGGGTTATGTTTTTCTTTCATTCCAAGTAACGAAATGTAAGCAGCTATTATTGATTTTGCTGCAGAAAGCAATTTGGCTTTGTTTTAAGACATTATTTTGCCTCCTTACCTAACCATATCCAACAGATTCCAAAAGATGAATAAAACACACACCACATATTTCTCTTGGATTTCCTCTTGGCTGGTGATCACCACAAAGAGGATGATTATTCTCTCTGTGAGCTAACGAAAAAAAAACAGCAAAGTCAAGAATTAGGATCATCTGTTAAGCATATAGGTATTTTTCTAATTTTAAAAACCAGTGTTCCTCTTAAAGTATGCTTTAACTGGAAATATGTATCTTAAATTGTTAACATGATCTGAGGGAGTAGAGTTATGGCTGAATTTCATTTCCTCCGTTTTGTTTTTTGTATTCTCCAAATCATATATAATGAATGAAAACATATTTTATCTGAATCAGGATATTTCTCTTCTTGTAATACATGCACATGTGTTTTTATTCACTTTGGCAAGCTTTTATTGAGTGTCCACTATGTATTAGATGCTAACATGATATGTGTAATGTAAGCATGGTCTTTGCTCCAGAGGATAGCAGTGGCAAGAGAACATGAGGCAATAACTCAGTGTGAATAAAAATGTCACTTAACACGGTACATACAGGAGCACAGGTGAGGGAGATACCTGTCTGCAGAAAAGTGCAGAGAGATTTATGAAGACAGGAAACATTTCAGTTGGATCCTGAAGAATAAGTAGGAATTTGTGAGGTAGACTGAATAAAAGAAGGCATCCTAGGCCAACGGAGCAGCCTGAGCAAAGAGGCAGAGATGTGAAAACACAGGGTGCGCTGGGGAGAAATGAGAACCCCCAGGGACTAGAAATGGGGTGCTTAGAATGGAATAACAGGAGATAAAATTGAAAACATGTTGGGGACTGGGTTGTGAAGGATTTTGAATGACAGGCTGAGAAATTTCAATTTCATCCAACAGAGAAGCCAACATATATATATACTTTTTTAAGTGAGGGACACAGGGAAAAGGGAAAGGGAAGTAATATAATCCTAATCCCCATAAACTAGTGGAAAATGAAAAGAATTCAACATATTCACTTTTTTCCAAGTTAGTAAACATTTACAAATCATTGAGAATTCACACACTTATGTTTTAGCTCTAACTACTGACCTCAAAATATATTAGTCTTTCCCGTTTTAAATATAATGTGCCTTCTGATATTGCATTAATATTCCCCCATACAGTCTGCATTTTTGTTTCTGTTTTTCAATAGAACATTTAACTTTGCTCTCCATGGTCAAAGTAAAATATACTTGAGATTGAGGGAGCATATTAATGATAAAGGGGAGGATTGCTTTATATTTCTCAATAGCCATCTTTATTTTTAAAACAGATCAAGGACAAAAGACTGGGATAATCTATGACTTAGAATCATAGGCTGTTAGTCCTGGAAAATCACTTAGTGCAGAGAAATCCAAGATTTGTCAACAGTAGGCCACATGATCAGAAATCCACATGTATAAGCTCTATCAGCATGTTTATGACTACAACAATGAGTCAAGAGGGTCCTTGCTTAGCTATGGGAATTAGATATGATTCAAATCTTAGTCAATCTATGGAAGCTATCTACAGAGCTGTTTTTCTTTTGTCAGTCTTTTGTTACAATGCCCTCATTTCTTAATTATAGTTCTATAATAAAGTATACTTAACTGCAATAATAATTACTGAATGATCCAAGCTTGCTCTCAGTGACATCTGGCAGCCTTCGGATACAAGATCTCAGCAAAACACAAGTACTAAGGAACTGCCTAAACTTACATTTGATCAGTGACTGCTAATTAGGAAAATCATCTACTTTTTGACAAAAATGTCAGGAGATACACACAATGAATGCATACACAAAACACATATTTTTCATTACAAAGCTGACTACTGAAAGAAAAAACTTAGAAATCTCTTGATAGGCTGGCCCTCTAGAGTCCCCTCCAGATACTAGTCCAACCTCGCCTTTTTACAGATAAGGAATTTGAGAACCAGAGAAGTTAAGTGACTTGCCCAAACTGGTGACAGACCTGGAAACATATAAATCCCAAAGTTCCTGGTTTCCAGATTTGTAAGCTATATATCATGTCAGGCTGCCCGTCAATTGATGAGTGCAGAGGGGAACATCTCCTAAGATACTGGAGCTATACAATGAAACTCACCCTGTTGAAAATCAGCACTTGAGGGTCTATGGAATGTTAATGTTGTAATCCCAATTGCATAGAAATCAGCAATCAACATGCTCCAAAACACACAGAACCATGTACATGTGTGTATGTGAAGACCCCCCTGACAATGTCAAATTAACAAATTATCTGACTCTGACTTGTTATCTAACAAGTTATCTAACTCTGACTTGATCATTCAATGGCAATACAATGGGAGAATTTAGGTGGAGATACTCTTAAATTGATAAAAAGCCAATATTTTTGGTTACTTTGTGCCAGTTTCCAAACATACATCAATCACCTCATTTAATCTCCCTAATGATGCTAAGAAGTAAGTGCTATTATTAATATCTGCTTCTGCATTTTATAAAGTGAAAGTGACCTGCCTACAGATCTGGAATCAAAATCTAGACAATGCGATTCTAAACCCTTGTTCGGAAACATTAACACTTGTTCACCCGTGTCATTTTATGGGCCACCCCTGCGCCTGTTCTCAAGGTTCTAGTCTATGCTTTTCAAAAGCCTCTCCTCGAAAGTCAAACTTTAAAACAAGAAACTCTGATTTTCTAAATCAACACCAAAACAATTTTGAAGAATAAACTTTAAAATTTTTTTACTTTTCTTTACATGTAATAATTTCACCAGTTATTTGGAGCTTTACATTTGGCAGAACGTAGCACTTTGTCATTTTAAACAAATCCTGTGAGAACATAACTAATTATTAATGAATGGCTGTGTAATGTTTACTGCAACTCAAATAGGTAGAATAAAAGTACAGTTAAAAAAATTCTATAACTTAGGCCAAATTAAATATGGTGGTAATGTGGTCTGCTCAAAAGCATGCTAACTATAAAATAAAAATGCTTAGCATTTTTATGTTCTACTTGGGAATCTTAAATTCCAGGTTAAGCGATGACTAAAGTTGTTACTTTATACATGGCAGTTAAAAACTACTGAAGGGGTACAACAATACTTCAGCTATAGGGAGAATTTCTAGAATCTCAAAAATTAATTAGTTTTAGCCTCAAAGATTATTATTTTACCATTTCAATCCTGTGAACTTTTGTTGAGAACATCAGAAACATACCCTTATATGTTCAAAAAAACACCAATTACTTTCTATAAGACAAAAGCATTTAAATAAATTTTTTTGCTTATTTATTTATCATTCAACAGATATTTATCGAGTACACTGTTTTGGGTCCCAGGAAATATAGCTGTGAACAAGACCGAATACCAGCCCTCATGGTATTTACATCCTACTTGGTGAGATAGACAGTAAACAAACACAACATAATAGTTGAGAGTTCAGGACAAATAGCCTAAACCCACCATTCACACCATTCACAATTTATGTGAGCTTGGATAACTTAACTTTTATGTTAAGGAATTATACTGGAGATAATAATTAGTAACATATAGTAAATATTATAGAGGATAAGACTATGAAGATTAAATGATTTAATGCAGGTGAAAAACTTAGAAGAGTGTTTGGTATATAGAAAGCCCTAAATAAATGTAAGCTATTATTATTAATAAATATAATTTAATGTAGCGATTATAGGAAAGTATATTTATAGGAAAATACACTTTTTCTATATAGCAAGACTATCGGTGACTTAAAAAGTTAATCTCAGCATCTTTAAAATTATACTATGAATATAGCTTTATAAATATCACACTGAAACTCCATGAATCAAATGCAAAATGCAGGAGAAAAATCTAAAATCTTACCTACAGAGTGAATTATGTGTGTGATTCATTCCCAGGAGGCTTTGAAGTTTTGAGAATCTCATAGCTTGACACTATCTTCAGTTTTATCTCTAACAATATAAACCTGTTCCCAGCTCAGAACTGGAGGAAAAAATCTATATGATTTTATGGAAAATCAGAAGGCTGTTTAATCTAGCAATGCAAAGAAGTAGCTGCTTCACAGCTAAAAAGAAACCAGGGTGAAACCTGGCCATTTTCCTGAAAAGGTTTAAGATACTCTCATTTGGGCTTTCCTTTATATTTGTTCTCATAAAAATTTGTGACTGTGAAATCTTTGGAGTGGTTTTTTTGGCAAGCAGACCCCTGCTTGCCCTGTCAGAAATAGGAAGTGACATGGGTAAATAAAAAGATGGTTCTTGCAAGTTGGGCTCACGAATGGAATTTTTGTAGGCACAATAATTTGGGGGTAATAATTCCTAATGTTTTGATTTACCAATTTTTTAACTGTGTAAAATTAATATATGAGCAGCAGTGTTTATTGTGATGCAAAGGGAAGGGTGCAGAATTTAGACGTTTTAATTCACATATGTATGAAGTCTTTGCATTTCAAGCATTTTTCGAAAGGTAAAGAAGTAAACTGGATTACTTTGATGGTTTCCTAAAGGCACATCAATCTAATGTCATGATACAAAGGTTCATTTTGTGGATATTTTCCTCTCTCCTCGAGTTGAGGCATTCTTGAGCTATAGCAATAAAAACCTCTTTCTCAGGCTTCCACTCAGGCAGAGTCAGAACAAAATCAATATTTCAGGGTTGGTAGTATTTCTGCTCTGTAAAAGCCAAGTTGTTTTGATTAAACCTACTGAAATAAACTAATTTCCTAATTAAACTTTTCTTTTTTTTTTTACCAAGCTAATAAAACAGACAAGCTCATTTGGGAGGAAGGGTTTGGAGAGGTGAGATGACTAGTTTTCACTTACGTTATCATTTCTTATAACAGTTATAAGCATTTTTTGGACCTTGTTACTTTCCCATTTTATATATTAAAATCAAAAGTTAACTATATTTCTTTATATAATTTTAATTGGCATGTAATTATGTCCAAAAATAGATGTCTATAAACAATATTTATGTTATAGTTTTGCCCATTCCCCATAACATGTATTTTTAAATATGTAAAAATATACATCTCTGTGTTAAATTATTATAGCCTTATCAGTGTGTTTTCCCCCTTTTTCCTTTAACAATTGCGTGTAATTCTAAAAATTTATAATGGCTTTTCCCTAAGTGTCAGAATAAAGATGTATGTATAAAACACTTTAAACAAAACATAGAAAACAAACACCCCCTATATACACATCATCACCTTTTGATACATGTGATTCTAACTGCTCAAATAGCTCATTGTTCCTACTGCTTTTCGAAATTATTTATCTTGATATTTTGAAATGCCAGTTCCCAAAAAAGAGAATTCAGTTGTGAGACTTAGCAATCTCACAAAGGTAATGGCAAAGAAACATCACAAATGTGCAGACAAGTTTTTCAGCCTACATGAAACCGTGATACCATGCATTTTTCAAGACACCGCATGTGATCAGCTATAATTTCTGTGTAAACAGCTTGGCCACATTCTTAACTGCAGTTTCTTCACTTAAAAATAGGGAAACAGGAAAACCCAGAAAGATTACACAACCTTAGAGTTTTGTTTGGTTATTTTAAAGCAGGGGCCCCAGAGTCATCTCATAATGAGTGAATTCTAATTGTCTGCAGAACAATAACAAAGGAAGGGAGGAGAAAATGAAACTTTGAACATGATGACATGTGTTCTTGAAGCTTTCTCCAATACCATGTCCATCTGAAAACCATAGAAAAGATAGTACATGAATAAAAGAAATAGAGGACAGATAAAATGTCAAAGAGAGAAAAAGAGGAAGCCAAACAATCAACACTAATTATTAATTATCAGCCCAGGATAAGAATGTGGTGACCTCTACTTGTTATCTCTCTCAACAAGAAAAGCTTAAAAATCAATTGAGTCCCATTGACAGACTTTGCAACCTCACCTTTGAATAAAAAGTTCTGATGTATGTTTGCCATTATTTTTTAATTACCAAACCAGGATATAGTTTGACTACAGTGATCATATTTCCACAAGCCATTACAGTTTTAATTAACAGTGACTGAAATATTCTGGAATTTCTAGAACTCCAAGAAATCAGATTTCTAGCTTGTATAATAATTTCTATCATTAGGCAAGCCTACATAGTTTTGGAAAGCACATAAAAGTGCACATTTTCTAGGCCTATTTGAAGTGCTCTATTTTCTTTCTTATAAATTTACCTGTCCTGGTGGTCACTTGCATTCCCTACATTGGCAATAACTAAAATAACACCACTCTTAATTTTGAAAATGCTGAAATTAATATGAGCCAATATAGTCTACAAAAATAAAAAGTCCAAAATAGTATACCAAAAGAAAATATGACTTAGATTTTAGATAAATTTAATCATGGCCCAAGAAAAAATCGTCCCATATGATAGAATACAACTTCCATTTAACCTGGGTTGTTAATTCTGTTCTTTAAAATTAGCATTATGGGATACTGGTACTTATATGCATTCTGGTTGTTAACAAGTAATAAACACCAATAAATCTTGTTCTCAAATAATATGCTCCTTCTGGGACAGAAATGTACCCCTTTTATTTTGTAAGGAAATACGCTTAAGGGGATTCCATCTAGGTCTTGGCTAGCTGACTGCTCTGTTATTAGTTCATACTCTAAATATTGCCGTGATTTTTATTTTACATTTGCTATTTCAACACTTAAAATATCTTCATCCTAATGAATACTATAGCTCTACTTTTATTTAATAAGTAAAATTTAAAATCTCCCATAAACTTATAATACTGAGTTTTTAGGCTCCCTAGGATCATATTCCTATTTCCATCTTTTAAACTTTCATAGTATTTTAAGCAAATTTTAATACATGGATCTGTGTCACTCCTCCATTCAACAAAAATTTAAAGAGTATGTTTGTGTTCTCAGCACTTTGCTAAGTGCTGACAATACGATCAGATTCAGACACTTTAGTTATTTTTACAATGCAACTCTGTCAAATTTAGTTATTTATCCATTTTTATTTTGTGAGTAAAAATTACATTCATGTAAATGCCTTTTTCTGTAGCTTTTAAATACATGTTCATACAGTCACTTAACCATTATCTCACCTTTTCTATAGAAAATACCACTTTTAATTTTTTCTTGCCTTAATCCAGCAACAATTTCTGATATTGAATCTCTACCAGTGAATTTCCCATCCTCCTTTAACTTGCCTTTAAAAAGAACATGGCTATTTAAGGCTACACATATGGTAGAGGGAACAAATAATAGCTAAAATAATAGCAATAGTTACTAAGCACTGTATTCTTAACTAAGTGCTAGGAATTTATTCCACCCACTTTCTTAGTTGTTCCATGAGATACATGTTATTTTCACATCACATGAGAAAATGAAGTTCAGAAGAATTATATGACCTGTTTAAATGCATACGTTAAAGAGTTGAATCCTAGTAAGAAGTTGAATCCTGGTCTGATTGATCCCCAAGTCTATGATTACATGCTCTACTAGATAACCATGAATGATCTCTCCTTCTCATTTGTACTCAGTAAAAGTGGCAGAGTGAACAAGAAATGACTGGGGAGTCATTTCTGAATGTTCTATTCTCTGAACAAGGGTGAAAGAAACTTTAAAATTAAATTTATTGAGTTTATATTTCAACATCTGGGGCTAATATCCAAAATATATATAGAACTCATGTGACTCAACAATATAAAAAACAATCTGATAAAAAATTGGGCAGGGGACCTGAATTATACTTTTCCAAGGAAGACATACAGATGGCCAGCAAACATATGAAAAGATGTTCAACGTCACTAGTTATAAGGGAAATACAAATCAAAACCACAATGAAATACCACCTCACACCCATTAGAATGACTATTATAAAAAAAAAGATAAACAAGTGCTGGAGAGGATGTGGGGAAAAGGGGAACCCTCGTTCACTGCTGGTGGGAATGTAAATTAGTGCAGCCACTATGGAAAACAGTATGGCAGTTTCTCAAAAAGTTAATAGAACTTCTTTATCATCCATTCTTTGCCCAGTATTGTGTTTGGTGTCCTTTCCCTGAAACAGCCCAATGATTGTAGGTGATATAATCCCACAGTGGTAGGTGAAGAACCAGGCAACAAACCCAAGTCTGAATGGCTCCAGCCCTAGGCCTCTCCTCTGTCATATACTGCCAAGGGCACTGGCAGAGTGAGAGTGGGAAGTGGCTGTAAAATCTCCTCACAGGAGAGGAGCACTGCAGTGTTGCACAGAGCGACAGGCCTCGTTGTCCCAAATGTTTCCAACTGGTTCTTCTAACTGCAGTGTTTGAAGATGAGGTAATTTTTTCATGGAATTATCTTTACTTGTAACTTGGGTTGCAAGTTAGTAAGGACTGACTTTTCCAGTGCCATAAAGTCAAGAGAGGCTATAAAGAGAACAAGTTAGGTATGAAACAAATTCAATAATAATAATGTGATTAAAACCTACCTGAAGAAACCTAGGAAGAAGATGGCTTGATTCAATGCCGACACGTATGTGCAGCAACTCCAAGAGGGAGATGGACTGGCAAAGTCGCATCACAAGTCCAATAGCATAAAAAGTGTCAGCCATTGAATCTGTGGCCGGTGATTAAAAATACAGATATAGTCAGTAAAAAACAGAAATTGTTCCCTTTCCAAAAAAGTAAAAACTTGAAAGACTCCATGGCCAAAGCTATAACATTTATTCCCCCACTTATGAGATTAAAAAGCACTTCCCACATAAAAGTAATGGTTAGAATCTAGACTACATCAAATGTAAACAGGTTGGAGGTGAGCTTCTTAAAGAAGCCTACTTTGCTCACAGCTTTTCCATGGACAAGAAAATGAGAGATGAGAAAAACATGATTTCACAGAAGCTTTATGGAAATGACATTAATGATGCCATAATATTAAATAACATCTTATGTGTGTCTAGATTTCTGTCCTATACATACTTAGTACTCTCTGAATTTTTGTCAGTTTTATTAAATTTATTGGGGTGATTGGTTAATAAGTTTCAGGTATACAACTTTATAATACAGTATCTGAATATTGTGTGCTCACTACCTAAAGTCTAGTCCCCTTCCATCACCATATATTTGACCCTTTTACCCTCTTTGTCTTCCCCCCACCTCCACCCCCACCTCTGGATTTTTGTTGGTTTTGAACAGTAGAATTTGGACTTCTAATGGGGATTTCAGAAGTTTGCATTGCAGAGGGCCCAAACGAAAACCTGCATTTAGAGAGAGGTGAAATGGGAGGGAAACAAATGTTCCTCTTACTAGAATAAATGTGTTGGTTTAAATTTTAAAATGAAATCCTGCCACATTAAGAAACTTCTAGGGAAGACTTTGCTGTCTTTGGTGCCTAGTGATTATTCACATGATGATAATTTATAGAGCACTAAGGGTTTCTCTTCTCAGCAGCTCTACAAGTTGGACATTGTTATCATTGGCCCCATTTTGCAAATAAGTCCTGAGGCCTAGACAGTCCGTGTTCTTATCCACTGCTCCACACTTGCTATAACAGAGCATTATCACACAGCTCTGTGGAGGAAGGAAGCAGGTATTACTAGTTCAGGTGATTAGACTGCAGTTATGCTGCTTACTTAACGTATTAAGAATTATACCGAACCCCCACATAGTTGTTTTCAGTCTGCCTTCCATACGAATAGATTGTGTTTCTTTAATAATAAGTAGCTTCTATAATTATTATGGCAGGATAAAAATTAAGAAATAAATACACTGCTGACCAAAGCAATTTTTCCCCACTGGAAAGGCCAGGCAGCATAAGAAAGAATTGTGACTCAACCTGTAATAGGCCCACAAAGCCACTGCTAACTTTCAAGGCCTAGAATTGACGACTGTTTAATATAAAGGAAGTTTTCCCATTGTTTGTGTTTTCCTCTGCTTGAAGACTCCCAACACTCAGTTGAAATTCAAGCCACAGGTTGTATCTTTGGAGGTTAACAAAGAATTTCTCTGTAGATTTGTAGTAAGAAAAAAGCAACATAAAATAGTTTATGGTACCTCAGAAGGTGATTAATTTCCTGATGATACAGAAGTCTAAACTGATGAGCACAGCATGACTTTTCCAAGATATATTCTACATGTTTGTTTTTTGCTGAAACCAGCAGTTGCTCAAATTGTCACATCACCCAACAGTTGTAAACTGTGATGACACTTACCCACATGGGGATAGAACATGAAAAGAATGTTATTTTGGCAGTCACTTAGTGATTCATTTGTGAAAACTGAAATGCTATTTAAAACCTTTACTTTTTAGGAAACTGGAGGAAGCTTATGATATAAACCATTAATGCCAAGTCCCATATAAGTGATGAGTCAACTGCAAAGTGTGTCACTTTCTTAGGGACAACATTACTCCTTAAGGGAACCAAAAGGCCTGGGGAATATTAAGTTTGTCTTTCATTTATTAGTAGTCTCCAGTTACTTTAAACGTGGGGAATAAAGAATAAGGGAAGAATGTGGTTCATTCCTGATTTCTCTGCACAAAATGTTCTACTGGAATTTACAGATTTCCTCAAAATACATGAAATCTACTAAGGTTTGGTGCAAAACCAAGAAGAGAGAATTGGTACCACCCCAAAGCCATGTCTACACTTTCAAGACAAATTGCCTACTCAGGGGGAAGCCAAATCTCTTTCCTTCATCTTACCTCCCCCTTTCTCCAAAAAGGTTTTGGGTTTTGCACTAAGCAAGAAGAATCGTTACTGAAAAATGTGGTCACTAAATTTTAGAAGGGTGAAGGTTATCAGGTGAAGTTCATAGAAGTTAAAAATTAAGAAAGATGAGGTGAATACAAGAATTAAAAGGTAGAAATCAGATGTTCTGGAGTTGTACCTTTTCCAAATGAAAAGAATCTGGCTGTCATATTTGTAAATATCCATGAATGGCCACAGAACTGGATTAAGTAGTAGAGGAAAAGATAGGTTTTCTTTCTATACCTACGAATACAGAAAAAATATCATTAAATACTCTTTTTATAATCATCCTTTCGGCATTATACACATGTCTTTTACCTACTAGCCAACTTGAGCAAGCAAGAGAACTATTCCCTATCAGAGTCTTTTTCAGTTTTCTCTCTAACGCACATGATTTTGAAAGGACTAATAGCACACACGATCCATTAATGAGTATCCCGAGTTTGCTTCAAGCCAAATATGGTTCTATTTCAAAATCCACTTCATCTTTGATAAAGTTCTAACCTGCTGCTCACCAGGGGATAAATATGGCAAAGGCTGCTTTGAATATTTTTGAGAAAAATATATGGATGGAGAAGGGGTTGACGTATTTAATACGTGTTCTAAGTGCAGAACTTGAGAGATAATTGGTTTATAGTTAGAAGGGAGGAGTAGTAATGGTTGAGGTTGAAATTCAATTGTAGTCACTCCCAAATTGTGGATAATTCAGTAAGTGGACATATCTGACTCTGAATGCGTTATTATGTGACTGGGGTCAGTATCTCACCACTGCCTCCTATTTTGCAAGGGCATATGTTTCCTTCATAACACAGAAAGCAATTTAGTGCCTTAGGCCAGGAAAGGGAAGTCAAATTGGGTTTTAAAATAATTTGCTGGAGAGATAACTAAAAGAAGATTGACAGATGCATTTGAGGGAGTTAAGACTAGCATTGTATGAAGTCAAAGTTTGTTCCCTGGGGGTTCAGAAGAGTAGTGGGAGTGGCCCTGCGAGTGTAGACCAGGTTTTCTCCTAATTGATGTGAAATCTCTAAGAAGGCAAGTTAGGTCGAGAAGCAGATACAAGTCGCTTGATGATTTTACTCGGGGACCCTACAAATGACACGAGCTACTAAAAGGGTAGGGAAGAGGAATTCCTGCCTTAAACCAGCATCAGAATCACTTGGCGTGTTGGTTAAACAATTTCAAGGCCCTACCACGGAAATCAGTTTCTCTAGGGCTGGCCCTCAAATATGCACATGCAATCGGTGTTTCGGCAGCAGGTAGATCTCAAATTCATCCTGCGTCTAAAAACACTGTTTCTGAGAAAATCGAAGGAGGGGCTCTGGGTGAGCGGAGAAGGGAAGGACTACCCGGAGAGCGCACAAAATGAAAGGGTAGCCGCGCAGCCTGTCCTTCCCATTTCCTCATCTGTTAAAAGGGGGAAATAACGGAGCCTTCTTTACAGAGTTGTGAGACTTGAACTAACTAATACTTGTCAAGAGCTCAAGAGTGTGCGGAGCTCAGGGTTGCGCTGCTCTGAGCTCGCCGGCGCCCGCCCAGCCGCTGATGGTTTGGGGGGATACCCGGCCCT